ACATTCATTTTGATTGAATTGTTTGATTGAATCTGAGAGCTGGATCACCCCTCCATAGCCCATAGGCTTCTTGAGGGATTGAAACTTGCCGGCCTGGAAAAGTTATTAAAGACATCGTTAAAATAGTCCAAGTGACAACAGTGGCTCAATCTTAAGTTTATCAAACAACGAGAACACTTTTACGACAAACATAAATAACGACTTAAAAAAAAAAAAAAAAGAGTATCCCTCTGGTGCCAAAAATAGAATGAAGAAAATGACAGAGGAGGAGAAAAAAGAGCAAGATAAAAGTATGTTTGCATTATTATTTACTGTATGTTTTGTGCAGCAATTGAACCATTCCTATCTACGGCAAGCCCAGAGGGGAAAAACACATTGCATACACACATACAATGAGCGCCAGTATCGGTATTATAGTAACATACTTTGTTGGATTCTGTCATGTACAATCTAACAAAGTCTGTTACAATAATAATAATAAAAACAATTGTGGACAGTTACACTGTACTGAGACATTTGAGAAATAATATTTGTACAGTTTTCAACAATAATTGTCATTGTTGAACACTTGCTCTTATTATGTTTTTGATTTCTCAGTTGTCATTATTTTAGAGAATAATTTATTTGATATTTGAGACAGTTTGTTTTAAGAAGTTTCAAAGAGTTAGTAAAAGAGAAGGCCTAAAAGAGTAAAAAATATGTAGGCTATCTATTTTTTAATAAGTTACATATACATACATAATCTCACTGTATTAATTTATAATATATCATTATTGCGTGATAATTGTGTCAATAATCATCGATCCACAGGTGACTCGGGAGGGACCCCCACAAGGCTCGGGCCAGCTCTGGGAACATGCATGGCACATGCATGGCTGACACTCACACAATCATATTCTAATGTAAAAAGAATGTTCAGTATGGTGAAAGTGTGAGGGTGGAAGGCAAATGATTGAGTGGGACGACCCGCAGATGAAGGACGAGTAGGTGATGATTAATGCAGAGTAATGTGACAGTTCTATAGGTTATTGTTGAATAGAACAGAACCCCGCTGACCACTGACAGCAAAGTAGGCACATAGCCTAAATTCCACAAATGACACATATGCTGATATCGGACCTATGACTTCACAATATACACTGCACACATATGGTTGGTTCCCACTCCTCTTTAGACAAAAATGTGACCCCGGGTTCTACTTGTTGACACAGAAACAAACACATTGTGTAAACTTAAACCAACACACTTTTCCTCCCAAAATTATATGACTAAATACAGTAGATATAAATGTTTCACATATACTGTTCTAAATTATGGCAAATCATCATAAGATATGAAGAGCATTAAAGATAACAATGAAATTAAAGAACATTTGAATCACATATTAGAAACAAGAAAAAGTTTGGAAAAAACAACATAATTGAAAGGAGGTATAGATGTACAATTAAAATAAAGAAGAGGAATTTACTTACATAAGGATGTCCATCGTTCTGGTTGCTTTGCGGTTTGAGAGTCCTTTCAGTGTTTCAAAATAAATCTTCCAAGTCAGCTTTAAAATGGTCAGTTAGGTGACGCCTTGGGGGTGAGAATGGGAAAAACACGCCCCTTTTCTCTATAGTAATCTTAATTCCACTTAACATATTAAATAAATATTCCACATCAATCAAGAAAAACACATGCATGCATTCAAAGAAAAGATGTAAGACAGTTTCAGTATCCTTTTTACAAAATGTACAGGATTCAGAAAGGTCATTTTATTTCTTTTTAGGAACTCATTTGTTGGGTAAATTGTATGCATCATTTTATTACATACACTTTGTCATTAATACAGTATTTATTAGTGTACAAGTCAATCTCCAATTTATATTTCCACAATGTTCATTCCAAAAGTATTTATTTTGAGGTGTAGCAGGACACTGAATAAACAATCTGAAGTGTAAGTAAGAAACCCTTGTTATTTATTAATTGTGAGACCATTAGAAAATCATTTTAACCCAATTGTCCCAATTAAAAATAGCTGTATCATCAGCTAGCTGACAACATTTAAATTCTTTATCCATAGTGTTGATGGCTTGAAAACGAGTCATATATAGAGCCAAAGTTTGCATGCATGTAAGGAATAAGAAAGGAGTCGCTGGGATGCTGAATACGAGTAGTTCCCCATGGAAGTTTAACTGAACTATTGCAATCGCTATATAAAGTTTGTATTGCCCTTTTAAAGTGTTGACCAAAACCAAAAAGTTCTAATACGTCAAATAAACATTCATGTAAAGGCTTTGTATATATCTATTAATAAAATGTAACAGTTATGTAATCCTTATAATCAATTAAATCTAAGATCGAATATTGTTACTAATATGTCGTCCTTGCATAAAACCAGACGGACTTACTTTATTCTTTGTGCAAAAATATGCACAATTTCAGATCATTATTAATTAAGGTTATTGGCCCCCAATTGTCAAGAAGCAAACAATCCTTAACAATGTAATTAAGCCTTGACACAAAGTTTGGGGAAGGTTTAGCCTCCTTAAAAACTAATAATAAGAATTCAGAAATGTAATCTTGAAATCCTTAATAAAATTCACCTGTTAGGCCATCATTCCTTTGGGATTTATTATCTTTTTCAACTTACTAATGTTCTATTAAAATTCTTCTTCTTTCTGAGTTTCATCAAGACTTGAGCCACACTTATACAGGAGAGAAAATATGAGCTCTGACAACTGTTGTGTTCAGAGTATTGTTTTTTTATTATTATTATTATTATTTTTTATAAAAATCTTTCACAAAATTAGAGTTTTTGAGGGGTCTTCAGAGATCTGGTCATTCATTTTGAGTTTATATATACTGTTAACACTAACATTTATTTTTTTCCAAACTATGAAAATACTTTGTATTCCTTTCACCATGCTCTATCCATTTTCACCAAATGAATAGGCTCCATGTGCCAAATTTTGATAGATATTGTCCAATTCAGCTTGTAAATCATATAAAATATTGATGACTTGTGCTTGTCATTTTTATCATAGATAGAAATTATTCCCTTGAGTATTTTATCTTGTCTCATTCTTTTTTTCCTTAGATAATTCTTTATATTAGACCTTTCAATGGCCATATTACAGATCTGAAATTTTGTATATTCCCAATGTTTGCCATATATTTTGTCTTTTTTTGCTTCTAGTGATAGTAGATTCTATCACTCAAAAGTTTATTATTTAATTTCCAATAATTTGGTTTTTATTTTATTGATTGTAGTAGTACTATTAAAGTAATCAAATTATGATCAGAAAAAACTGAGGGCTCTATTTTAGCTTCTTCCACATTGTTTAGCAACTCATTTGAAATAAACCAGAAGTCAATCCTGGATCTCTTAGATAAATTTGTGTTATTCCAAGTGAACTGGATTTGCAGACATTAGACGTCCAAATGAGTATTGACGCAGTATTACTTTTTCAGCGCTTACGTACAACTTGGGACAGCGCGGCCTCTAGTGGTCGCTCGTAATAACTATAGAAATGTGTGTTTCTGAAATTGAACAGGCTGCATCGTTTTAATTCCGATAAGAACAAAAACCTTGAATATAAATGTATTTAGATCGTTTTTAATGTATATAGCATACATTAACATGAGCACACACCTGCTGGCAATAAACGCCATGCTCCTTTGGACTCGAGTAAAAAATGCATAGGCCTACAACGTATGGCTAATTGAAATTTCGGTTCAAGGTTATAGCCTAGAAGTGTTTGTTTGTTTGTTTTTTGATGTTATGTAACACAGTGGTTGTTGAAAACACACCAGCAAATCGTGGGTGAAACGTAATTTGGAATTATTTGCACAAATAGCTGGGTTTCAGTCACGCGATTATGATGATGTGCTGAATTCACATGGGGGCAGGGAGTGAAGCGGGCAATGTAAGAGATGGAAGAAAGCCCATACTGTACTACTTTACACGCTATTACAAGAGAAAGATATAAACAAAAAATCAAACATATGTTGGACGTGATCCTTACGTTATGAAGAGGAGCGATTTTTCAACTGAATAATTGAATATTTTCCTGCCATCGAGGCGGTAGATATCAGCAACTACCTAGTTTTACAGACATACTTTGACTTTACAAAGTTCGGAAATGTTACACGTTACACAAACAGCCACTTAAATTGTATTAACTCACCTTTGATGAAGTGATCACTAATGTTACACATGGGCATTTTCCCATTTGGCACCTCCCGACCGCAGATGACAGACGTAGGTTTTGCAAGCCATTTTTCCAGAGTTTTTCAATCAATTTCTTGCATTTCCCCCCTTTATGAACAACAACATTTGGTACACGATAAAAACACCTCGTGATTTGATCGATTGAAGTAACCATAAACAACGCGAAACTGTCCTCCATTTGTATTTAGCGCCACGCAGTTCCGTGACGTCATATGAAAACAAGCTATTTCATAAAAGATTGTACATTTTGTTTATGCAGTTTTTACTGAGCACAATGCATATAGCATAACATAAATACATTTATATAAACAAATACGTAATTGTATAATTTCATGATTAAATTAGTAATATTTTTTATTAATGACAATCCTTCAGATTCAGTTGGTGGATAATACAGAGTTCTTTTTAATACATTTAATACTATGTTGTTAGTAGGCCTATAATCTCCTTTTCAAAAGTGCTTTGTTGCATTTACATTTCTGAGAGAATAAAAAAAAACGTATTTTTTACAACAACAATACAATATTGTCAAGATCTCTAGGCTAGCCAATAAAACATTCTCTCTGAAAATATTTGAAAATAGCTAGCTATTTTATTGTCCCTGTGCCCATTTGGGAAATGGGAAAATATATATTTGTCGTGATCAGAATTTTAAAAATTAATTAATAAAAAATAATTAATTATTCTTTAAAAATAATTAATCAATAAACTGACACATTACACATAACTTAATAATAAAAGAGACGTTTGCTTTGCGTGTAATATTCCGTGTAGCCTACTACAGGTGCATGAGATCTCGCACATGCGCCTTTCAGTCGTGCAGTCTGCAGTAGCGTCCGTCCTGCGCGTGCCCACCAGACTCAAGCAGCGAGGCGTCACAACAAAGCTGGTAAGCAATACACAGGTATTGCCAATTTAATACAGAGACCAAAAGGGCATACCTAATCAAAATCATATGGCATAAGATGGTTTGCCGAAGTTTTGCTATGTCAATCTCGTTTATGTTGTCTGCGATTTAGCACCGGGACTAAGCGCGCATGATTTTTTTTTTTTTTGTAATAACGTAGTAAAGCTCACAGGGAAATATAGGCGTACTAACTTAATGGATGTCAAAACACTTAAACGTGAAGCGTGTGTCTCTGACCGTGACCTTCCCGTCTGCGCTTAGTGACAGTGCCAGACGAGCTTTCTAATTTAAAGGGCTGTCAGACACCCGCAACATGTGCGCCTTGACTGTACAATAGACATGTTTAGACGATTATTCCCGCTTTAACACTTGAACCTATTCGCTGACAGCATGCATTTATGTTGTGCAATTGCGTAATTATTTGAACGCATGCATAAATCCGAATAGGGCCTGGAAAATATTATAAACATCCGCTGCATGGTGGTAAATCGATCCGCCTCATATGTACAGCTGGAATGCGGCAGTTATGGGTGCATTACGTTATTTCTTGAGCACCGTAGACAAAGACTCGTGCCTATTGCCATTGTGTTGACATTGATACGTTATCTATTTACCAGGACGCCCTGTGATCCTGAGAATTAAAATGAGATTATTCAATATTAGTTTAGGTAAATTTATCTGACCCCACCCACTGACCCACACCTCCATCGTCTAACAGGTATGCTACAAATGAACCCATGAAGATTTCACTTCCTGTTTTGTTTTTGTTTTTTTACATTTTGTGCTTGTATTTGTAGTGGTAATTTAATTTACCAACTCACCACTTACAGATACCATTAGAAAACATAATAGACATCACATTCTCAGAATTGTGTAAAATGTACACAAGGTGCTATTTTGTGCAATCTTGTACAATCAAGTGGCAATAATTTGAAAAGTTGCGTTTCAACCCTCTCGGCCTGGCCTGCCATGATTTTTAAGGATCTTTTAACATGCAGGTGAAAATGTGTTGATATAGAGCGTTCTGATTCAGATGATACCAGATGCATGTAATTTTACATATATTAACATGATCACAAATCAAATCATAAATCATAACTTGTCATCCTCATAATATTGTAACCCCAGAATGACAGTGACATTTACAATAGTAATAAAATTGCAGTCAATCAATCTTGTTGTATTGTAATTCCAACATATGTATATTTCTCTAAGGTCATAGCAATCTAGATATGCTTTTAATATAATAAAACTATTTTCAGTAATGAACTCTACTGCCCACCTTTGTTTCATTTGAAAAGTTGCGATGATGATGATTTGATTATCCTTTGTTTACACATTTTCAGACACGTCGAATGCATTTATTAGTATATACGTATGCGTGGGTCCTAGGTTATTTTAAGATGTCAGACAAGAGTGACATTGCAGCATGCAATGAATCAGCAACTGCACTCTCTGTCACCCAGTTGGTTAATCTTTCACACAAACATAAATTCTGAAGTATGCAATTAATAGAGATATATCTCTTATGGATTTGTTATTTTTAAATTAGTAGGCTATTGTCTTTGCGTGCCTTATTCTAAAACTAAATCTTTGTCAAAAAATGTGTTCATTTTCCCCTTCAGCCAACAGTTGGGCTCTTCTACATCCCCAAGAAGAAATGTTAGCGAGGGCAATGAGGAAGATGTGGAGATCAGATGACAGTAAGTTTAAAAATGTTTCTTCATTTTGTTCATTTAGAAATGTTTTGACATACATTGGTAAAGATTGCACAGGGTATATACAATCATACACCAATGAAAAATTCTTCCTTATGTAACTGGTATATTCATATATTTCAGTTGTGGAAGAGGAAAAACATAGCATGCCATCAGTGTGTTTTCTCCAGCAACCTGAGGTTCAAGATGACTACTCTGATGAAGCTGCACTTCATAGTAAGGGAGAGATAGAAAGAACCAATGAGAAGATGGATTGCAAAGACAAACAAAACACCCAATTGTTCCAGAATGCAAGCCATTCTGTGTCCCAAGATCTAGCTAATCATAATCAAGCCAGTCAGGCAAGTGACCATGAGCATGCTGGAATGATAAAACAGGATTGTTGGACTGATTTGCCTATAAATGACACTAAGGCTGACCTTGACCATAGTACTAAACTCCAGGGTAAATTGCCCTGTCCTCGATGTGAGAGAAGGTTTACAAGTAGTCAAGGCCTGCAGCGTCACATTCAAACACATGCTCTTTCAACCTGCCACACACAGCGGTTTAAATGCAATCGCTGCAGAAGGACCTTTAGTACGCTCTTTAGTCGTCGGAGGCATGAGAAAAGGCATGAAAAAAGTAATAGGAAGACGAATGATCACACAATTGCCACTTGCACTGCTAGTCAGAATGTCCCTGGCAGTGGTGATCCTTTGAAAACAGCATCACAAAACCCACAGCCAAACAAGTGCATTAATGCTGCTGATGGTGAACACAGGGATGTTAAAAACCATGCTTTCAAAGCCTCACACTTCTGCAAGTATTGCAAAAAAGCATTTAGGACTCATACTAGCCTAAGGAGACACCAGCGCAGGATCCACGAGTGCCAGCTTCTTCCTAGAGGAGTTTATAAGAAGGTCAAAATCACTCAAGAACCTGAAATACAGCAGCTTGTTGAGACAGCACAGGACTGTCAGACTCTTAACCCACGTTGTGCAGAGGACATTGATCAGGAAAAGGAATACATGGTTGACATCTCCAGTAATATTTCAGAGAATCTCAGCTTCTACATAGATGGGAAAATTGTCTCGACGAGTGCTGTAAGTAACTGTGAGGTGATTGAGATGAATTCTGGGGGCTCTGCTGTGATTGGATTGAATGCTGTTATAATCAGTCCAGATCAAATTACACAAGCTCTTAAATTAGAAACCAGTAACGGCAGTTTCATCTCTGACCTGTCTGGACAATCCTCAGCCAAAAGAAGGACGTCGACCCCACCTTTACTCCCACAAATAAAAACAGAATTAGAGTCTGAATCCATCTTGAGTACCTCATCATCTTCCCTGTCATCTTTAACATTGTCCTCTGGGTCTGGAGCTCCACTGGTCACTGCTCATTTACCTCAGTGCATTGAGACAGTTGCCTTTCACAAGGAAAAAACTGTCTACCTGTCTCCCAAACTCAAGCAGCTCCTACAGAATCAGGATGGCAGTGATCAGTCTTTTGCGTTAATTGCCGATGGCCACAATCTGGGTCCTCCCTTATCCCTGACTGTTTTACCTGCAACAACAACTAGATTTAAGAGAAGGACAACCTCCCCTCCCAGCTCACAACAGCAAACCCCAGATCTGAATGTAGAAAATCAAGATCAGGATTCTACAAATGCCAAGATGTCAAAGTCGGAGAGCCACGAGTTGAGCCTCTTGGGCAATGAAGAAATTGACCCTTTAAATTTACCCATAAACAGCTCTGATGGAGCTCAAATGCAGCAACAGATCTTGCCATTGGACTGCTCTGTATCAAGAACAGGAGGAAACTCCTGTAATCAACAGCCATTGGACCTCTCCAAATCTGTGGGGAAGCGAGACAGCAGTGAAGTCTTAGCAGAGTCCATTTTGGACTTAAGTATTAGTGGAAAGAGTTTAGACTGTGACTCCACTGGAGTCTACCTCACTCAGCCTGCTTTGAGGAAGAATAAGCCTAACTCTAGTATGCTTCAAAAGGTGCTTATGAATGAGTATGGTGGGGTAGACAATCCTTCTGTTGAAGATTCAGCTGCTGCAGGTGTCGTCAGTGCTCCTGACCTAACAAACCTTGCAGTTGTGCCAGTGTCTGATGCAAGTCCACCAAACCCTGAAAAGCTTTTGTTTGAATTGGCTCTTCCTCCTGCCTCAATCAATTTAACCCCTCCATTGCTCACTCCTGTCAGTATCCAACAAACTGCCCCAGTCCCTTCACGTCACTGTTCATCTTCTTCATCTCCAACTTTTGTATCCTTTCTATCAACTCCCACTGTGGAACCCAATCAGGACATTCAAACTCTCCATTCAACCTTCCTGGTATCTGACACTGTACCACCCACAGCGTCTGTAGAAGACTGCGCTGATAATCCTGTACATCTCTCACAGGATGATTTGAAAGTGACAATCCCTGATTGGGTGTCCTCTGCTCCTGTAGGTCTGGAGAGCCTTATACCTGCAGCCCCTTCTCTGACTTTACAAGGCCCTAACTGGGTTGCTGATCCTGCCGTATGTGAACTAGCTCAAAGAACGTTGGTTGTAGATTCTGTATTAGCTTCTGACGCACAGATATTTTCTCCATCTCTGCCTGTTAATCAGTCCAACATCACATCCTTGACTTTACCTCCAAACACTGTTGTTATTGAGTATACAGTTGCACTGCAATCTACAGAAAATATTCTCCCAGCTCTCCAAGCTAATTCTGTTCATTGCCTCTCAGATAAAATACCTGTCGATGCATTACAACAAGAACCTTGTGTATCTGAGCCGCAACCTCTCAGTCTAGACAGCTCCCTACTTTCTGAACCACCCACACAGTCGGTTTCTATAGAGCAGTCATCAAACTCTACAGATGGTACACCGACCCTCACGGCTTCCACTTGTGTTGTAAAAGCAGAGAGCAAAGAAGAGGGACAGGACAAAGCCCAGTCCTCTGATTGTTCTAAGCAGGAAAACACAGTTGAAGATGAATTACCACCATTGCATACTTTTTGCAAGAACTTTATGTGCAATGTTTGTGAACAGCCCTTCCAGTCCATGAAGATTCTCAGCCAACATGTTGGTGAACACTCTAGGGAGTGGCCCTATAAATGTGAATTTTGTGTACAGTTGTTTACGAGTGAAACAGGTTTGCTGGAGCACCGTTCCAGTTATCATGGCATTGGTAAAATTTATGTTTGTAAAACATGTTCCAAGGAATTTGCTTTCCTCTGCAACTTGGAGCAGCATCAACGAGATCTCCATCCCGGTCAAGAGTGTTCACACACCGAAGTAGTACATGGCAAGTTAAGACCTGAAAACCATAACAGTCCCAAAACTGACATGACTGATCCAAGCCTTCCAATGAAAGAAATTAAGCAAGAATCTGACAACATAACCTTAAAAGCAGAGGAGGATGCCTTGGACAACTCGGACACTTCTGAAGAGCTGTTTACAACAATAAAAATCATGGCATCTGGAGGGGTCAAACCAAAAGGCCCAGATGTACGTCTAGGCATCAATCAACACTACCCAAGTTTCAAACCACCTCCTTTTCCATACCATAATCGAACGCCAACTGGGATGACGGCTGCATCAGCCACCAACTTTACCACCCACAACATCCCTCAGACGTTTAGCACAGCCATTCGTTGTACCAAGTGTGGTAAGAGCTTTGACAACATGCCCGAACTGCACAAGCACATCTTAGCCTGTGCTAATGCTAGTGACAAAAAGCGCTACACTCCTAAAAAGAACCCTATACCACTTAAGCAGTTTGCAAAAGCACAAAATGGGGTGTTATCAACTGCAAGGATTGTTAATAGTAGGCAGAATCTCTCTCAAAAGGTCGGGACACTGAAAAAAATGAACTTTCACGAATCGGCTGTTAAAATAAAAATGAGTCTCCTAAATAAGAAGAAATCTCAGCTGTTGCAAAGGGGCAGACCTGCAGGTCTGAGAAAGGCCTTTGCTCAGGATGACCTAGACATTTTTGCGTGTCCTCACTGTAGCAGGGAGTTCACATACAATGCTAGCTTAAAGAAACATGTAGCTTTTAGCTGCCCCATGAGGCCGGCCAGTAGAAACTCCAAGAAAAGAACACTCAGTATCGTTTCAGCTCAGGAGAACAACGGGAGCCTTCGTAGACAAATTTCAAATATGAGTGCAAAGCCACAAGGGTCAAACCATGGGCCAAAAATAATAACAAAGAGTCAAATCATCAAGCAAGATGCAGCAGTTGATACCACTCAGGATTTTAGACTTAAAAGATCTTCCATTCTGTCAACATCTGTGGTTCAATCGGGTAAAAAAGGCAAGATAGTCCTCTCCTCGGTTGCTCAGGTTAATTCTCAGGAGCCGGGTGTTCGGGTACATGTTTTAGGTAGAAAAATGGAACAGGGCGTGGGCGACGTAAAGCTACAGCCCAGAAGAGAGGACCGTTTGTCTCTGAGGTTGAGAGAGAGAGTAGGAGGACCTATTACTCGCAGTGTGCAGCAGGCCAGCACCACAACAACAGTCCTTAAACAGCCAGACAGCAACAACATAATCATGCATCCTGTCATTCTTCAAGTCAAGAAATGAGACTTGTAAACTATTGACTTGTATCCATTTTTTTTTAAATGCCCCCTTAGTGCAACTTTAACCTGTAAATATGCATCTAAATATTGGACATGGTTGAAACAAATTTAAAATTATGGCTGAAATGAGCATGTCCTTTACTATCTTTTTAAATTCACTGGCTCAAACATGTCAGCAGGCTATAATATTTACATATTAAGTATTATGAAATGCCATTATCTATTCATATGAGAACACAGTCAACATATCAGCTTGTCATATATGTAAATACTTTTGCCATCTGAAACATTTGAATGTGCTATCACAGTTTCTGGACATGTCCTCTTACAAAGTTTAGCTCCACTGCTCTAACACATGTAGTATTGAAATGACCTTGATGAGCTGAAAAGTAGATCTCCGGGAGCTAGGCCCAGTACTTTTGGATTACATAAACCTCAAACCTTAGAATTATAGTAAAATGTCATGTTAAATCAAAGTCTGAAGAGTGGGGGGTCTCATGCACTTTATGCTGTAGTTCATATTCACCTGCTGCATTGCAATACTGCAATTAATCAATTACCACCAATTATTATTAATGTATGTATACTGTGTTTAAGAGAAGACGAGATGTGTTCAGTGAGGTTCACTGATAAACAGGTATTTGTTGTAATGGTTACTGGCTTCTATTTTTGTAGATTGTGTTAGTTGTGTTTTATTTGTTTGTATTGATGCTGTTTAGACTCTTCATGCATGCCAGAGATTCCATGTATAGGTGAAGGGAAGGGTCAGAGTGTAATATATCTGCACCACAAGAGGCAGGAGAAATGTATATTCTGTTCACAAAGAAGATGTATGAATATATTTTAAAAGTCTTCATTTCTCCCTGCTATTCTCCGTATAAAACATAAACATATTTGGTCAGCTGCTGTCAAATGAGTAGGTCTCTTTTTTAATGCACATATTGTGTAGCATTAGGGAAGATAGTTATTTGTGAAATAAGACATTAGGTCTGGAAATTTAGCTCTAAATACAAGTGTTTTAGCACAAAGTTGTGTCTTGATGTCTCTTGTTGGCCAAGCGGATAAACAAAAAGTTCTAAAAGGGTCAATGATTTAACAATAATGATGATAACAGGCAAAGTTTAAGGCTAATATGAACAATGAAAAGTTTACTCTATGATTGACTGTTGTGACTGTAAATGAAGCAATTTCTAGCAGAAAGATGCACTTAGCTAAATAGTCTACTTATAATATATCAGAACTTGTCTTCTGAGAAATCCCAAACAGACGGAATTAATCTTTTTAAATATTATAATCATTGCTTGCGGAAATTTCCTTTTTATTAAACTAATGTAACTTTTATTCCATTGTTTAATTTCTGCCTACAAGTTTGCTATATGGTGTGACACAATGTTTTCAGGCTTTGAAAGGGTTTCAGAAGTATTTTAATGTGAAAGACTGAATAAATTGCTCTGTTCTACGTTAATTTAATGAATGTGTTTGGTTTTTTAATGACATAATATATATTAAAAAAATCAATACATTCTATGTGTTTTACGTATGACTTTTCATGCCAAAATAACCACCTTCTATATTCAAGTGTGTGCTGATGTTATAGTAATAATATCCACTAGGTGGCGGCGTTGACTCGCCGCATGATCGCACCACCACAAAATTTACATCACAGTAGCTCTCATTATTGTTTAGAAATAACATGTTTGTACTGCATTTACAGAAGAAAATCTTTGATTTGTTAACATGAATGGGTCACGGTTTTATAAACATTATTTAGGCTGTGCAATGTACACTGTACGTATCGACATAAAATAAATAAATAACACGCCATAAATGTTCCGCCCTGAAAACATTCATTGAAAGCTGGTTGGCTAAGAAAATTGGCGCTGGGGATTGATGGACGTGTCAGGTCAAAATAAGGGCGGGACCAACAGTCCTTTAAGGCTGAAATTAGGATTTACTGCAGTGTTGTTTATGTGAAAGGTACAGATCACATAACAGAGAATAGAAGAAAGATTTATTTGAGACGGGTTTGCTTTTTCTTGAAGACACAATTATTTACCGATGTCTTTAATAATCTATCTATAATGCTTGTTCTCTCTCCCCATCGCCCTTCCCTCTGCCTTTCTGGGTGTAAACAAAGCCAAAGTGGGTAATTTTGTCGTGGGAGGATTTGATCTCATATAAGAATAGTAAGGGTTCTGCTTCCGTAACGAATTTTGTGAATAGCCTCCAAGCGATTTATCCGTCACTAAAACAACAAACTAAATTAAACAACGCCGTTACAATGTTGCTGTGAGACATATTGACTTGGATTTCTAGACTGATAAGCTATCCATATCCGACATCTATCTTTCCAAGAAAAAAATATTCATTGTTTTGTTGTTATGGGGTTGCCACGACATTAAGAAACCGCTGTTTGAGATACACAAAAGAGTTGAGGATGCGCCTGCAGACGCGCTCATTCCCCACCTCCTCGGGTGGGTGGGTGGGTGCATGAATGGGGGGGGGGGGGTTCTTTGCTCAACCGTTCTTTATTTTAAAAACACGTTTCAACCTTTACTGTCTATGGTTTCAACACGTAGCATGAGCGAGACAGGCGTTGGTATCCAAACTAAACCAAACCAAACCTCCCCACGCCCGGTCTGAACCGGTTCGGGGGTAGTGCGCGCTCTTGGAGACTCCCTCCTCCCCTTTGCTGAAATTCCTGCCACGCGCTCATACACACACAAAAAAAAAATCCAAGCAGAGAACGAGCACGCGCACGCCGGCGCATACGTCACTCCCTCCCCTCTGCCTTGTTCACCTCGCATCTTCCATTGGTTCCTGCGGACATCTCGAGCCCCCTCTTGTTCTCTCCCCCGATTGGTTCGCGGTGAGGACTGTGGAGTGCGATTGGTTAATGTGAGTGCAAGCCCTACTTACTCATTGGCTGATGCGGGCTGTGCATGAGCGCGAGGGAAAGAGTTGTAAACGCGAAGCGCGTGCTGGAAAAGACGAGGCGTAGAGCTGAGAGCGGCGCGAGCACCGGAGATCAGCAGGGGCATCACTCGTCACAACATCCAGCCTCTCATCCGCCCTCTCTCCATTTTGTCGCGATTTTTTCGCCATATCTTTGAAATCTAAATCGAAGCGAGCATAAGGGAATCAAGTTCTGTATCGAGGCTTTTGTCAGCCCGTGTTGGGGGCAATTACTGTTGCCCTCAGAGGGGGGAGCGCGTTATCGTTTTTTCGATTATTTCTATTTGGGTGGCAAAATTACTGCCTCTCACCGCGTGTTCGTTAAAATTGATTGTGGGTGCTTTCTTGCTTGATTTTGGTCTGACTAGAACGGATTAACTGGGTTTTTTTTTGTTTGTTTTTTTTAACCGTGTTGCGGCTCTTTGTGTGGGTTCAGCTTCGTGTCACTGTTATAAGCTACCCAAAGTTCCGCACTCCGAGCTCCAAAACATGTGTTCCCGGGTGTGGTTTATCACAGACCGGCGGATCAGCCAGGAATACCCGCAGGTCCAGATCCTGCGAGCTCTGAAGGAACGCTGCGCCGAGGACGATGTTGAATTCCGCTATCTTCTAATGGATGAAATCGTCCTAACCATCACGGACGGACAGCTCGGTAAAAACCGCGCGCACATACATATTCATTCATACATGCATACATTCCATTTGTACGAGTGCTGAAATGGTTGTTGTTTAAACTGTCGAGTTGGCTAAACTGGTCAGTGTGGATGGTTAGCACGCTTGCTTTGAGCGGATGTGCATCACCGTGTGAATGTGTTTTGTGTAACGTTAGATGTGCGTGTGGGTGACCGCCTAACCCACTTTCAGTCAGCCACCACAGCCTAACGTTACCCGATGGATGGAACGCCGTTTAAAATAGTCGAGAAATCGTCGAGAACATATTCGACATTATAATCTCATATCGAATAAGTAAATAAATTCACATCATTATTTAGATATCATATAACCGTTTATTGTGCGCGCGAACAGTCACGAGTGTGCGGCGCGAGCGCGTTCATTATCATCACATAAAGCCTCGAGCGCAGATGGCGCGACGTTCACAAAGACCCGTTATATCCAGGTGCTACGCAAGCGATGGTTTTAGTTTTTAAACCCTTGTTTTATATTCAATCAGCAAACTTTGATCGGAATGTATTTAGCAGACATGCTATGACGCATTTGCGCAAGGTTTCACATAAAAATGGCTTTAATCGAAATAATCGATTCATCACGTGCAAATATTCAATCCGCAAACTTTGATCGGAATGTATTTAGCAGACATGCTATGACGCATTTGCGCGAGATTTCACATAGAAATGGCTTTAATCGAAATAATCGATTCATCACGTGCAAACCGCAACATAAATACGACTTTTTAGTTGCAAGATGTTTGTGCGATCGTTTAGACGATTACTGATTTAATCGCATCACGTTCTGGTAGTAATGTAGTATTAAGAATACAGATAGACATTGTCTAACTTGTGGTATCCGGGATGCTTGAAGATACACACACACCTACCGCCTCCAAGTCATAGATTATCTTGTTTTAATAGTCACTAATACATCGGAGTCAGCATTGGGTACTAACGTTACCAAATAATCTGACATAACCCCTTATGCACAAAACGTGTGTCGGGGTCATGCAGTTAAATTAAAAGGATGGTTCACAAAAAAAAAAAAAAAAAAAAAATCATAATACATTTCTTAATATGTAATCACCCTCATGTTGTTCCAAACCATCATCATGCTGATTTTCTTCAGTGGTAAATTAGATGTTTGGCACAATGTGAGAGGTTGGCAGCCTGAGTCACCATTCACTTTAATTGCATCTTTTTTTTCATGCAATGCTAGTGAATGGTGACCTAGTCTGTCATTCTGCCTAACATCCTCTTGGAAGTAAAACATACTGGTTTGTAACAACATGGGGGTGAGTACATGTTGTCTTTTCAGCTCAACCATCCTTTAAATAACAAGCTGACTGCAAGTTGCACTGTTTCATAAGATAATGATCTGGGTTATTGGCACCAGTGTTGCCATTGTGGAAGGTGGGGCTGTTTTGTTTTGACAGCATTTATTTTAGGTGGTGCAGATGGGCACTGGACATAAAGCTCTTTGCATGGACCTGAGGTAAAGGGAGTGGCTATGCACCAATGCAGCTCTGCCTTGAATCAGATACTTGTGACAGCTACGGTGTGACTTCGTGACATATTGGATTGCCAGTCTAACAGGAAGACCCGAATAGACAAGATAAGAAGGAGAGAGGAACTAAGACCATATTGAGCTACTTTAATGCAAAGGTAGACAGCTGTATGGAGAACGTGACCGCAACATAACAGGAGCAGGTTGTTGGCCTGTCATGTTTATGTGTGTCTGTGTTTAATGTGCTGTCCTGGATTCTGTCTTGGTCCAATAAAGAGGTGGTTGACAGTTGGTCAGCTCAGGGATTTAAACCCCCAGAGATCCTGACATTCTGCTGAGTTACATCATCAACATGAGACGCATGGAACAGAGTAGGTCAGCACTTGTTTCAGGAAAAGCATTGCAGTTAAAGACCATTGTTTGAGGACATACTGTTATTCCTAAATAATAATTTCCTGAATTTATTGGTGAACCTGTTAACAGGTGTGCCGCAAGAGTGTGTATGTTATCTTATCACCTGCTGTGCATGTTACCCCACATGCGGCAATCAAACAATCAATAAGCAATCAGGGTTCAGGACTTTTGGCAGACTGATTTTTCACTTTCATGATGGTGCGAGAGATGCGTGTATTACTTTTTGATGTCAAGTGTCCATTCCTCTAAGACATGTGAAATCTAACACCAGTTTATTGTCTCACACATGCACAAACTGCAAGCCTTAACATAACATGCAGATAATGCACACGTGACCTAGAAAAGGCCATAGTTAGTGGTAAGTGAAACTTCAGACAGGAACGATTTAATCAACTACTTCCCAAGACGTTTCTTTCTAACAAAGTCATAGGGAAGATTTTATAGACGAAGAAGATGTCTTGGGTTGATTTTATAGACATAGAAGATGTCTATGTATAGGGTTGAGAAGTGTAGTGTTTAAATAGCAGTAGTGTCTGTAGTGCACTGACATTGAGGTAGTTCCCCATGATTATCTCAACTGGGAAAAAACAAGTTGCACATTTGTAAACATACATGTACAGGGTTCGTAATATGAATTTTTTTTTTTTTTTTGCATTTCCAGACTATTGCCACGATTTGGTTTTCCCTAATAAAAATGAAGAATTTAATAGAAAAATATTTATCATTCAAGAAGTGTATTATCATGGCAGCTATTTAGTGATTCTTTAGTGATTGTCAAACACGACTGAATCAATTCAAGGTGTACTTTTTTCATTAAGAAAAAATGTAGGTTACAAGCGTTTGGATATCTTATAACATTTTTAGCTCCGTATTACAGGGCCTCTAAAAGGAGGACCTTTGCAAAAACAATATACAGACGTTCGTGTGCGCACGAGAAACTAGGGATGCACCGAATGTTCGGTTTAAATATAAGGAATAAGTAAAAAGACTGAATAAATTTTACAGAACAATGACGTTTTTGATGACGCGATCAAAGAGTAACCAGTGTAAAGTGAGAGACACGCGCTTTATAAATGCAGTAAACATGCCCCCTTTGAGCAGATAACAAAAGAGTAGCTCGTCTGATGCATCTGTGGCAGACGTTATACCCTTACTCGCAGCACTAAAGCGTTTTAAACCTCTGGGGTTGACAAATGTGCCGGCGCGTTTTGCTGGACTTTTTTGACATAGCAGCAAAATAGATTTAAATACCCAGTCATTTGTGGTCATACATACTTAAAGTTTAAGTTCACCCAAAAATGAAAATTATGTCATTCATGACTCACCCTCATGTCGTTCCAAGCCCGTAAGACCTCTGTTCATCTTCGGAACACAGTTAATGATATTTCGAGAGATTTCTGTCCCTCCATTGAAAATGTATACATGGTATACTGTCCTTGTCCAGAAAGGAAATAAAGACATTGTCAAAGTAGTCCATGTGACATCAGTGGATTAGTTAAAATGGTTTGAAGCATTGATAATACATTTTGGTCCAAAAAATATTCTCCTTATGTAATCTGTATGAAAAGAGATGTCAGTCTCACTCATTCTTATGGCAAGTCATTATCTGCTCTTCGCCACGGAGACCGTTCACTATTGAACTGCAAATGATCTGAGGCAGGGGCGCCCAATCCTGCTCCTGGTGATCGACTGTCCTGCACAGTTCATCTCCAACCCTAATCAAACACACCTGAATGTGATCCTAAAGACCATAATAAGTTGGTTGCTTCAGGTGTGTTTGATTAGGGTTTGAGATGAACTGTGCAGGACAGTCAATTGGCAGGAGCAGGATTGGGCACCCCTGATCTAAAGCAATCCATGCAAAACTTAACGGCCACATCAACTCGATAAAACACATCAAGTTTAATCCGAATCATATTTTACGTCATCTTGGGATGTTGTGAGGAATAATAATAGTGTAATATAATCCTGGAAGAATGTACCTCGGAAGTACTGGTTTCGGTTTTCGACGAGCAACGGATCCAGCTGAGGATTGTGAATAGTAAATTGCAAGTGCTTTGTTCTAATCATATAGTTTATGTAAACCGCAAAAGTAGGATTATGTCTAGGACAGTTATTCATTTGTTGTGGTTTCATCCACAATTTTTTTGCACTTTTCAATGCATTTTTTTGTTGTCATGCAGAGTTACATTCTTTCAGCAGTCAGTTATAGGCCTAACATAGGCTATTCAACTAGAGGGGCTTCAAAGATGGCCAAATAATTTTTTATTTTCACTAATTTATTTTAAGTTATATTGTTTGTATAATATCTGCTGGGATGTTAAAAAAAAAGTTCAGTGTTAAATAAAAAAATTTAAATTGTATTTTTGAAATTAGATTTTTTTTTTTTTCCTCTGAAAAGCTAGACAAAATGGTAAAAAGCATCATTTAATTTAATTAATGCAATGGTGAAAAAATTGTTAAAATAAATGGAAAAAATGCGAAACACTGCATTCGGTATCCAGCCAAGTGTTTCAATATTATTCTGCTTCAGCCAAGAATGTATTTCGGTAAATCTCTACGAGAAACCATTAAACTTGGCATATAGGACAATGCAGTTTTGCACACTGAGCCACCTATTGCGCCGTCAGCCAATTTTGAGGTGTGGTTTATTGGCCACCACAGAGTATGCGTTTGGGCAGACCAAAGGCCTTGATACATGATGTACTGCCATAACGAAAGCCAAATTTTGAACAGGTAATTTTTAGAGTACCAGTCTTTTTTTGGGTTGCCATCAACCCATTCATGTCATGGTTTCTTCGCCACAGAGGATGCTTAAATTGAAAGGAAGGAAATAGGTTATAGTTAGGGGTGGGCGATCTGACGATTTTATATCGTGACTGATCTTGAAGATGTCCACGATTTATCTTTCAAGTGAATTGTAGAGATTGTGATCGGTTATGTCCACGTAATATCGTGACTTATTGTCTGAGTGCCGCGGTCATATTCTCTGTTTTCATTTTGTTGTCTCTGTTTAACAGTTTTTTTGAAATGCATTACTGGATGGAACTGTTAAACAAAATGAAAAACTGTTTACGAAAGAGTATCATTGTGTTTGCCTTTATATTATTAGTAACAAAGGCTAACACTATTAATACTTTTTCATTTACCATCAGCATTTAGCAAATGCGCATTTATATCATTTAAACATCTTTCAAGATCTAATAAACCTTTACTTTCACAAACCTTGCAGGTTTAGTCATCATTGTGTCTGTGCTTGACTGTCAGATCAGCTTCACTGGAGATTCATGATCGTCAAATTATGCTGCGCTATATTCAATTGCCCACTTATATTAATATAATTTTCACTGTACTCTGTGTAAAATGAGTTACTTTGTCGTTTTTTGGAAAAAATGATTCACACAAATTTATTATCATTTTTATATTTTTTTCCTAACAATTTCTTTATTTGTAAAAAAAAAAATATATAGAAAATAAGAGAATCGAGAAGTTACAAAATAATGTAAGTCGATTTAATTTACAGATTTCTTTTTTAAATCATTTTTTTATTTCGGCCAGTGTGCTCTTTTAAGATATCGGTATTAGCTTTCAAAAACACTTGTTTAATGACTATTTTGACCACTGATGGTTTAAAGCAATACTGTGTTTTAAATTGAGAAAATAGATCCGTCCATAGGCTTGTTCCAATCTGGATATTCTCCGATAGTACATCTCAAAATTGTGAAGATCTCGATTCAGATCATGATTGTTTGAAGATCGTCCACCCCTAGTTATAGTATATACAAAACTAGAAATTGTAGCGCAAGCACGCAAAATGTGCGCATGTGAATAGTTTCTCGAGGGCACAAAAAAGTTTCTCTTGTCCATGCAAAATTCTATTTGATCTTTTTTTTATTTAAAGGCTGCTCTGTCACTTCAAGAATCTAGTAAGTGAATCTAGAAAACAAAATATTTTGAAAATATTTTTTACAGAAGACTACTATAAGTATAAAATAATGTTTTTGGTTTTTTTTTAACAGAGATTTTTTTTTTTTTTTTACATTTATCTACAGAGAGGTCTCGGATTTTGAAATGGTAAATGTGTAGGAACCCTGAATGCAGAAGGTGGTACACTTCTGAAGTTAGGAACCTCAGTGTTGTAAATTCAGTGGCTGAATTTCTGGTTTCTGTGGTGTATTCTAGTGTAATAATAAAGCATCAGGATTATACAGGAATAAATGCCAATTCTAGGCCCGCCTAACATGCACCATTTAGGCTGTATGTTTATGCAAGTTGTTTATGGTGGTCCAGCTTGTTTATGAATGGTAGACCAACATGGCTTTTTTTGTGGTCGAAATTCTGCAGGATGAATTTAAATATGTTAATGTAGTTTTGAGTACTGCACTTTCATTGGCAGCTGAATGACAAGTATTCAGAACACACAAATATGGATTAAGTAAAACAAATGGGTATTTTAACTTTTACGTGCGCAACTGTTGAAATATTTAGGGCCAGTAAGATTTAAAAAAAGAAAAATAATTCTGCGATGATGCATCAAATCAATCAAGAGACAGATCTTTTTTAACAAATAGCTTTACTATTTCAAATAAATTATGATTTTTTTTTGAACTCTCTATTTAAAGTATCTTGAAAAATGTTAACCGGCACAACTGTTTTCAACATTTAAGAATAAAGTTATAGTAAAAGTATGGAGTTATTTCATGTGACACTCAAGACTAGAGTAATGATGTTAAAAATTCAGCTTTGCCCTCACAGAAATAAATGACTAAATAAATCTAAAAAAAAATTGCAATTAAAAAAATATATATTTTAAGTGGGAATATTTCACATTATTATTCTTTTACCTATATTTTTGAGGAAATACATACTGCCTTAATGGGCATAGGAGAGACTAAAAAAAAAACTTGAGTGTTAGTTTATATTGAATAATTGTGTGGTATTATCCAGGCGCTATGTTTTGTCTATTTATCTACCTGTATCTAATTCCAGCTCACCTCACCCTCATAGCATACCTCTGAAGTAGGTTAATCCTGTTTCTATACTGTGCTTAAACACAGTAGGTTAATCATATATACTCACTCGCTCTGGATTTAGTGTGTGAGTGTGATAGTCATGTTTCTTAACCCACAATGAGACAGCTGCCGCAGGACTGACAGAAGGGGGAAGTTAGGGGAAGTGCTGCTTCTTTTTTCTGTTGAACACAAGAAGACATTTTGTTGTTGTACCCCATTGACTTTCACAGTATGAATACTTAACTTGAGGATGAGTAAATTATTCATTTTTGGGTGAACTATCCCTTTAAGGGGCGATTCTCTGTGCTGCAGTGAATGTATGACTAACATTTCCTCCGGAAATTTGTCAGAATGGTATGAGTGTCAGATCTGTTAGTGTAGCTGGCTGGTTACGGTTGGTCTATATAATGTACTGTTTTATTGGGAACTAATCAGGTAAATAGTTTATTCAAAAGCAAATAAGAAATAAACCTGCTACCACCATGTTTATCAGTGTTGTGAAATACTGAGTAAGAATTGTGATGTTTTAAAACCTAGTGGACCACTGACACGATCCAAGATGGTGGACACAGAGAGCAATGTTAACTAGCAATATAGATACATTATACATATACTTACCTAGATGCATAATAATGAATCAAAAGTGACTTTTTACATTGTATCATAAGATTAGTTAAAAATGCTTTTGTTTTGAAAGAATCCTGTAAAAGTATAATATTTTATATAAAATAAATGCAGCATTTAGTGAGCATTACAGATTTATCTCTCAAACAATCTTGCTGACCCCAAACTTTTGAACGGAAGTGTAATTATAATTGATTGTAATTTTAAATGTATTATTGCACGCAATATATGTGTGGTCTGTATTTTTATAATTTTTTTTAATCTTATGATTTTAGTTTAGCAACATGCTAAAGTCAAATTCTATTAAAATCAGTTGCAACACATTGTGCGTTTCCAATGTGTGTGCTTTTTTGTGTAGAACGTTGAGATGCTTTCTATGTAGAGTAACTTATGAGGCTATTCTACATAGACAGTGTGACAATTAGGATGCTGCCTATTTGGGGAATTCACTCTGTTTTGGAACAGTTATTGTCCTCAAAATGGTTGTTCAACAAGGTGGTGAAAAATCTAAGCAGGTGATTGTCTGTTAGTCAACAACATACAATACATAATGTTATATAATTTGAACTAATGTTGTACTGGGAATCAATAATGATGATTGTTTGTATTTCTCTTTCATTTCATATGCCCAAATCCCATATAGTCCTGTCATGCCTGTTAAACTGCATTCAAGTCCCATCTGCTTTGATCCATGAGAGGAAAAGAGAGTGCTGATGTAGCAGTTGCTAGTGAAGATGCTGAGTCGTGGTTTGTGTGTGTTGCTCCATCCTAAGATGGCGGAGAAGGAGAGATTAGAAATACTGTGACGCATTCATGTTTTGGCTCTTGTTCCCTCATCGCTCCCTTTTATATCCTCCGTTTTACATTTCCTGTTGTCTCTTGAATTACTCAATCACATGCTTTTCTTTATGTAATCTCTGAAATCCTTTCTTGTCACGCTCTATTTTTTGTGTTTTGTTTCATCCAAACAACAAAATTACACATTTGCCATTTTTAGTAAATTTCGATTGCTTTAATCTGCTCTTGTATTTGTAATTGGAGTCAAAATACAAGATTTAAGTCAAATCCAATGAGCGCTGACTTAATCTGATGGCTGGTGTTAAGTGAGCATAAACCCAAACTGGCACCTTTAATTAAAAACAAAGCAGTGCTGCAAACTGGGTTAGTGGGTCGGCGTAAACGCTGCAGTGGCAAAGCAAGCAACCTTCTGCGGCATTGTGTAACTGCTCTCAGAAGGAGATCTGCAATTTAGTATTAGAGAGATGCTTCAAATTTCAATATGCGAGTGAGCGAGAGAAAGAGGCAACACATCCAAATGAAAGTCTGGCTCTCATTAGTTGCTCAGGTACATGAGTGTAATCCCTCCACACAATACTGCGGCGACCAAAACACAGACTGCACTGCCTGTACTGCAGCATGTGATTTATCTTCCCTTTCTTTCTTTTTTTCAGGTCTGCGGGTTGGGCAGGAAACCGTTACCTCATACCCCCAAGTTGCTGTGGTGCGTGTTCCGACCCCATGGGTCCAGTCGGACAGCGACATCACCGTACTGCGTCACCTGGAGAAGCTGGGCTGTCGTCTGGTCAACCGCCCCCAGGCCATCCTCAACTGTGTCAATAAGTTCTGGACCTTCCAGGAGCTCGCTGGGCATGGAGTGCCTCTGCCAGACACGTATTCCTACGGTGAGAGGAGATTATCATCTTTGTCTGTTAACGTATCATTCCCCAATAATCACTTTGTATAATAAAAAATAAAGGAATACATTTTTCTTACTTGCATCTTATATACACCACTTTACGTAACCTACACCACCATTCAGAAGTTTGGGGTCAGTCATTTCTTTTCTTGAAAGAAATGAATGCCTTAATTCAGAAAGGATGTTTTAAAAAGATTAAATTAATTGAAAAGACATTGTTTGAAAAGATTTATATTTAGAATAAATGCTGTTCTTTTTAACTTTTATTCATTAATGAATCCTGAAAAAAGGTTTCAAAAAAATATTAAGCAGCACAACTGTTTCCAACATTGATAATGACGAAGTATCAAATCAGCATATTAGAACAATTTCTGAAGGATCATATTACACTGGTTTGCTTCTCAAATAAATTATACTTGAATTATATTTCACAATGTTATTGTATATATGTGCATGTATGTATGTAAACATGTATATGTATGTATATACCATGGATGTCCCGATTTCACTTTCACTACCGATGCCGCAGCTTGTGGCTATTTGCCGATACCGATATTAATCTGATTTTATTTTATCCTTGAACTACTACCAATTAAAATATATGGAAGCACTTTGCTCAATTTGCCATCTAAATATCTCATTCAAATGGAGAACACGTACTTCTCAAGTATATATACTTAAAGCTACCAACAGATTTAAGTTACTCATTAACAAGCTTTAAAATGGCCTATTTAGCCGTGTACTTTTGCTTCCTTTCATTTTTCCTTTTTTAACCTGTAAAACAAAAAATGAACAGTTGTATTTTTAAAACGCAAAGTTGAACACCAAAATTACATACATAGAGCTGATTTAGGCTCTAGGTAATTTTATAGGCTAATAATAAATGTGTCTATATAAATAACGATGTATTTGATTTAGGAAACACTAGTTTATTAATAAATTCAGTGTCGGCTGGAAACATATCTCCATCTTTAGAGCGCCTTTAGAGAGAAATGCATAGCTATGGATTAATCTGACGGTTTGCTTTCGATTCGAATTGTGTAGGCATTTCAAGCTTTAGCCTACATATAGTTAGGAAATATTTTGTTTCAGTTCATTTGAGATGCGATCCAGTTCACGGAGACCATGAAAGCACGTCTGATTGTTTTGTTAAATTTTACAAAAGCACAACATTTTCTTGTTATTGTGAGTTTACATTAAAGTAGTTGCGAATGATGTATTGTTGTTTTCTGTATGACCAGAAATGATGTTAAGTCGTTTCCACTGATGACAGAAAAACGCAAGTTTTCGCACCCGCGCCTCCATGCCATGCTGTGCGCGCCACACTCCGCACAAACCCTTGCTTGGATATGTGTCAATCTTGTCTACACTTTACAGCCTATGGTTTATAACTGACAGTTTTTTTTTTTAGTACACTGAATGAAGAATGATCTGAAGTGCCGGTGTTTCGGCTACATAAACCCACTGAACTGATCCGAAACCAGACCAATTTTTATCCACCCACCCAAACCCATTTTTGCCCACAAAATAGATTCCAAAACTGCCCAATTGGGCTGGAAACTGCCCAATCCACAGGCTGCACCGCTTAACTGGATGTCGCAGCAAGGAAAATGCTAATATTTAAGCATTGTTGGATGGTATCGGAAAATTTATTTTTTCTCTCCCCTTCAATCTCCGATCTAGAGTTCTGGGCCTTTATCGGCGTGTTACAGATGACGTGGATCGGATCGGGACATCCCTTATCTTTACTGTATTTTTGATCAAAGAAATGCAGCCTTTGATTAGCATAAGACTTTCAAAAACATTACAAAATCTTACCACCCCCCCAACATTTTGAATGGTAATGTATGTGCACTCCTGTATTTATAACTTTTTCAGACTGCTGTTTATGCGACAGTCCGGTTTGTAGAATGAAACGGGAAGCCCTCATCATTACACTGAAGAACCAGAATGGAAAAAACAGATAGTGAAAAGGGGAGGGGGTGTATACAACAGCAGTTACAGCTGCTGTAGTGACGTGTTCCTGTAGTGACGTGTTTCTCTCTTTCGCCCCCCTCTTACTGAATGCTGAACGAGTTCATCTGTTCCTCTCAAATCCACCAAACAGATTCTACATCTATAAAGAATGGGTTTGAGCTTAAATTATATTTCTACCCAACTCTTAGGTTTCTCTTTCTTCTACTCTCTTTCCATATGTTTGTTTCATCTATCTTGGACGCGTTCTATCAAACCAGAGGTTACGTTAATTACTAATCTTGTCGTTTAATTAACATTGTCAAATTTCAAATGATTTCTAGCATTTTAATATAAATACAATAAGGAAAACGCATTGTAAACAAATCTTAAAAAAGAGTTGCAATGAACGTTCTTTGTTTTAAATAAATCACAAAAAAACTTTTCACACCGGTCACACCCCAAGCATATCTCTACATTCTTAAAGGCGAAATAAAAACAAATTTAAAGTATAAAAATAGACCATAAGGGAATTTTTTACAAAGCGATACAGTTATTTATAGCACAACCTCTGGGTCTAACATGTGGCAGTCGCGTGTCTTCTGAATAACATATTTTCCTAAAACATCTAAGTCATGAACCTTCAACAACTGGCCACGTAGTTGGACTGAGTGCCATCCGGGAAATGGGAAACGTGTGTGGCAAAAGAAAAAAATCTGTCAGCGTTGCAGATCTTCTCATGTGGATATTGAATGTCGCAGTGTTGCTTGTTTCATTAGAGCTGTTTGCATCTTGCTCTGGAATCTGGCACTCAAATTAAATCTCACTTTTAATTACATTCATTACATAATCACTAAGCTGTGTGTGTGTGTATGCATGTGTCTCCAGGAGGACACGACAACTTCCGCAAGATGATTGATGAAGCGGAGCCGCTGGGTTACCCTGTGGTGGTGAAGAACGCTCGTGGACACAGAGGTAAATAACTGATACTAGAACAGTCTGTGTACATTATAGCTCCTTTGGGGACTGAAAGATACAGGCCGTATTAAGCCCAGAACACACCAAGCCGACGGTCGGCCATCTTGCAGATTTTGTGAGTCGGCCAACTAAGTTTTCTCGGTGTGATGCGTACGGTTCCGTGCCGTTGGCTGAAAATATTCCTCGTCGGCTTTGTCTCGCCCGATTCGACATGTTGAATCGGCGTCGGGCCATTGGGGAAAGAGAGAACTCTGATTGGCTGTTCAGCTTAGTTAAAGTCAAAACGGTAAAGATAAAAGGCTGTTGTTATGTTGCGTCTTCTTACCTGAGTGTTGCTTGGCGAATATTTCAATATTAACATGAGCGGAGTGGAATAAAGAAAGTGTTTAGCAGGATTGATATTCAAAACGGTAAGCACGTGCTGCTTTGTTTACGTTATGTGTATCTGCAGCGTCGGTTTTCATTTTTGAATGACGAATATAGACTAATATATCTGCAGAAATAGATAGTTGGCTCATTAAACGCAGGCGCAGAATGCACATTCTAGCTGACAGTCGCCTGTAGTTCTCTCGGTGTGTTCAAGTGCAGATTTTTACCTTGACGAGAGGCGACAACACAGTTGGCTTTCATCAGCGCTAGTTCGTTGGCGTCGGCTTGGTGTGTTCCGGGCTTTAGACTTCAGATCTGGGTGCTGACAAACCTTCAGGAGCCCTGAGAACACAAACGCCTCAAAGTTAGACAGCACGCTGGATCTCTGAAATCAAGCAGCTTAGAAACATCACTCTTACCTTAAAAACAAAGGTTGTCTTTCTTTCTCCCAGTGCACATAAGGTGTCTTTGTCCTGCACTGCTTTTTTTGCCCAAGCAAATTTGAGGTGTGCGCTGAAAGCATAATAAGTTTATATGCCTATGATGAGCAACAATACAGAATTACACAATCTGCCCTGGATTAAATCAAGTGTCTCATGGTCAGATGAAATCTTGCCTCATTAAAGCTTAGACCAGTGGCCACACCTGAAGAGAATTCAATATGTAAATTTTTTTTAATGCTCCCAAATCAGCCCAACCAGTCTCTGAATGTGGTTACAGAGCGTTGCATCCTTTTAATGTTCCATTCAAATCTCATTTTTAAAATATTTATGGCTTATTAGTCACTTATGCAGTTTTTTTTTAATCCGTACCCAGTATATATGATCACTGCTGCATAAGTAATTTAAATGTATTAGTCAAAGGTTTGGGAACACTGAAATGTGTGTGTCCTGCTATACGCAACCAGTCAAATCTTTGTGATCTGTAGTTCAAATAACCCGGTACCTTTTTAACAATGCTAACAATGTTGACCTTTGTTGGGCTGTGACATGTTTTGAAAGATTTCCTCTGATCTACGAGGAATTGGGTGGGGTGGCGGCAGCCTGATGGTTGAACATCTGGGAGAGTTCACAATCCTGCTGTTTCACCTTTGTGCCCTTGAGCGAGACACTTAATCCCTGGTTTCTCTAGATCTCCTTGTATCTGATAGAGGACTATTACCTAACAAAATTGATTATTCAATGCCCATTGCAAGTCTGGTTCTCTGGCAAAATTTACAGAGTTTCAGCTGTTTGAAATGAACAAATCAAACAAAAGTAATTGAAATAGCTTACCACAACAAATGTTTCAAGTGGTTTCCCCAAATTCAACTGAAAATACAACTTTTCATGGCTTCTGCAGTCTCAAAATGCTCCAATCCCCTGAATAGAATCCCTCACAACAGCACAAATCTGAAATACAGGTTTTGTGTCAAGCACACCTGATGCAACTAATCAAGGCCTTCATTAGTTACACCTGGTGTGCTTGAGCTAGAACACATTAATTATTTGATCTGGCTAGGTTTGTTGAGACAAATAGGGCGAAGTCAAAAGATGGCCTTGTCAAAATGTTCCAAAAGGTTAACAGAAGATATCCCTTCAAACAAGAAACAAGACACAAAAAGATAGCGAAGGCACTAAATGTTCCAAGAGACACAGTTGGAAGCATAGTTCGCAAGATCAAAGTTAAAGGAACAGTGTTTACAGTAGCTGGATGGGGCAGAAAAAGGAAGTGATCAACGGCTAAAATTTATTTATGGCTTATGCTGGTAAATCCTTGAATTATAACAAACAAAGTGTAGATATTATGAAAGAGTCATTGTTAATAACAGATGTGTGAGATCGTGAAGAACTGATGTCAGCTTTTTATGAATTACTAAGGGTGTGCACTTTGTGCACTGTCATGCCAAACCATGCATGACCATAAGTTAGCCTGCTTGTTTTTGTTATAACAGTGTGGTTTGTGTGTTAATGCTTTAATAAAGAATTTATCAGGAGCATTTATGCTAATGCGATATGGTGGGGACACGTAGGCTGACGTGAAAGTATTTGGAGGTACAGAAAAACTTTTTTTTTGTGGGCGGGAGTGGGACAAAACATAAATGCTACGGGGGGAGAAAGTAACATGGAAAGTAGTTGAGAACGTCAGTTATAATAATGACCCATGTATTAAAAAATGGTCGGGTTTAAATCGGGCTTGGGTTCATAGTTACAGTTAATGTGTGGGGCCGAGCTGGGCTTGAACACAACGTGCTCGGGTAGGGTCGGGCTTGCATACCCAAGATCTACCTCGGGTATGCTAACAATTACAGGCATGAATTAGTTGTTTGTCCTCGGGGAACTTGTGGAGCCTCTCCCCAGTTTTTGATGAATTCGTACATCCCCCACAAACACAATAGTGAACCATTTTTGCTAGCCAGGTCTCCAATATAACTGCTAGCACACTTGCTGTTTAGACCTAATGGTGACTCTAGGCTTGAAGTATAGACCAGACATAGACAGTAAAAGCTTGGAGTCCCTTTATGATGTCACGCCCAGCCTTGTGGAAGGGAGGGGGTGTGCTTAAAACATCTTTATGTTCTTATCTTTATGTTTAGTAAGCACATTGCATCATTTTGTAAAAAATTTAACCTGCAATTTACACTTTCTGTGCAGGTAAAGCGGTGTTCCTGGCCCGGGATAAGCACCACCTCTCAGACCTTTGTCATCTGATTCGCCATGACGCCCCATATCTGTTTCAGGAGTATGTGAAGGAGAGCCATGGGAGGGATGTGCGGGTAGTTCTGGTCGGAGGGCGAGTGATCGGGTCCATGTTGCGCTGCTCTACCGACGGACGCATGCAGAGCAACTGTTCGCTAGGTATGCAATTCTATAATATCCAATATTATCATTTTAATAACTGCTGATATTTTTTGTTGTCTGTGGGTGTTTTTTATTTTTCTGCATATTTTTCAAGATTTATTTATTTATTTTTCCATATAAATTTAAGATGTACATAAGAAAACTAATAGGGCTCTCCATAAAGTAATCGGATATTTCGTTGTACTAAAACTAGAACTAGAAAACTAGACCTAAAACAATAGCCTTTATAATGGCTTAAAATACATATATAATAACAATGGGGCATTCATTTTTGCTTCAAATAATGTATCAAAAGCAAGTAATCTTGTGGTTTTATAGAACAACATTGGTAAAATACGTAATATAAACAATCTGTTTATGTAATGCCTGCAGAGGGAACCAACGGCCTGGCGATTCTGGGCCAAACGACATTTAATTCAAATGTTAACTTAATCTTTAAAATGTGGCTACTTCTATATGATAGAAATGCTACAGCCACTAATTTCTTGAACAATAATATGTGGACATCAAAACATGCAAACTCAGAGCGAGGGTTTGACTTCCATTTTGAAATCACAATCAGTTGAAATCAGTTTGCATATTTACTCGACACTGGTAAATTGCCATAGAGGATTCTTTTTAAATCGAGTACTCTAATTTAAATTACAGCCCTAATAATCACAATAATAAATGCTATTGACTGTAATTTTCGGTTCAAGGCAACATTTCTAATTTTCCTATACATTTTTATTTTTTTTATTTCAGTTACCGTTTTTAATTGTTTTAGTTCACAATAGCAAGACTGACCATAATTTCCCATTTAGCCCCTCTGCTCATGATTTCACTCCTTTTTCTAGGTGGGGTGGGAATGATGTGCCCCCTTAGTGAGCAGGGGAAGCAGCTGGCCGTGCAGGTGTGCAATATTTTGGGGATGGACGTCTGCGGGATCGACCTGCTCCAGCTAAACGATGGTTCTTTTTTGGTGTGCGAGGCTAATGCCAATGTAGGCTTCATCGCATTCGACCAGGCGTGCGGGATGGACGTGGCGGGTATCGTGGCCGACTACGCCCTCTCACTCCTGCCAAACCGCCTCAGCAGGAAGATGTCGCTGCTGTCTGTGGTGTCCAGCACCAGTGAAACTAGCAGCGAGCCTGAGGTGATAATCCCCACAGAGGTGTGTATTCCCAGCGAGATCTGCCCACCCGGCTCTAGCTGTACCATGCCTGACGGCGTGTCGACCATGAGCACAAGCTCCACCTCCAGCGAGAGTGAGGGGGATCTAAACGAAACGGGCCCCAACCCTGTCAGTGCAGATCCTGCTTACAATATCAACTCCCTCCTCGCGAGTGAGATGAAACTGTTGACTGAGTGAGCTGGAATTACAGCCACAAACACACAGATATCAAAGAGCAACACATACTGAAGTGGACATTAAATGCATACAGATGCACACGTGTAATCATACTAACCCTCCCTGTAAAGCCCCGTCTTAGGCTGCTCCCCTGATGTTTCTTCTCCATTGGCAGACTATAGAATTAAACAAGTGTACAGTGCAGTTTGGAAGTGCACCAGATAGTGTACACTCCAGTCTGGGCTGTAGTGCACCAGCTGAATATGCGTTTGCCACTGTAATTTGAGGGTGCATGTACTGTAGAGTGGTTTTATCAGGACATGATTCCCAAATGTAACCATGATTCCCAAATGCGACCAACAAACTGGATTCTGATGTTCATACTCTGGGTTAGGGCACACACACACATACACACTGACATACACTTAAGGACATATTAAAGTCTTCTGTATTATAGAGAGAGAATGAATGAATGAATTTTGTCTGTTACAATCCTTGTGGTAAAGCCTGGCTGAAGGTATAATGCATTGCATGCATGGGGCGAGAGAGAAAGTTAGAGATTTCAACTGCCCACCAGGATACAAAGGCACATACCTCCCTGCCCTCAAAAAGTCCAGACAGACAGATAGAGGGACACCAAGAACAAAAACTGGAAAGCTGTGAATATTCTCATCCATCCTGACTCTTTTAAAAGCATGAATGAGTGAGTTATTTTAGGCTGCCTGTAGTAAATGAATTACTGCTGATCAGACAAGCGTAAAGGTTTCATTTGCTTTGCCGATGTTTGTAAAATTAAATGACTGATGTGGGACACGTATTGAATTACCATCCTTAATGTGTAAGTGATGATTTGGCCTATAGGAACTTTAATTGGTTATTGGTCATCTTCTACTTGGCAATTCTGTAATTGAGGCGGCCATTTTAAAAACCTCCACTGTCCACCATTTTGGATTGGTTCTCTGTGTACAGATCAATACTATGGAAGATAATGTGAACAGGAGCAATATTCTTAAACAAACAAAAAAAAAGCTTCTTATTTCTAATTCATACCTGCTAATGCCCACAACGTCAATCTGCATGTCTGCCACTCCAAAAGCAAATCTCCCACATATAGAGTCTGAACAGTGAGTTGCATAGAAATAGAGTAGACTTTTAAATACTAATGTTTTTACCACAAGGGCTGAACGTTTTGCCAACACTAAGCGCTGACGATGAATACGCTATTTGTCTTCAACGATTTGTTTGTACAAAAATATTGCAACAATAAAACTGAAGTGTCAACTCAAATGGGTGCTACAACTTCTCTTACTTCAGCCCAGTGGTCTAAAAGCCAATAACCGGAAAGAAAGACCAGGAATTGTATTGATTTGAGCACTGCACATTCCTCAAGTCTAATTCTATTTAACATTAAGTGACTCTTTTAATATCCCTTTTCAATTTGGAAATGGCTAAAAATTTGCATTGAGTCTTAAATTGCATATTAAAAAAATGGACCAAACTATCCAAACCATACCATGGTTTGCCATGTTAGACGTCATAGTTTAGATCAATTAAATGTGAGTTCAGACTTTAAATAAATTACAGTTTACATTTAAGATGAAATATAGACTTGAAATTTTAGTTAACTCGGGGAAGCAGCCTTGATCAAATTCCTGTCCTTGGAAACGTGACATTCATGTTAGACAGTCCTGCCTATGTGTATCAATAAACAAAAGGACAAAGCGTTATAAAATATTAAGAAATGGATGCTGTGAGACCTGATGGTTAAATGCAATCTTTTTCTTGTTTGTTTTATACTTAGTGTTCTGTTGTCTTTTGTTTTCCTAATTTATAATTTTATGTTTTGTTGAGAAAAAGGACAAACTGGTTTATATGCGATAACCTTGCTTGGGAAAGGCTGAAGAGTGGCGAAGGGTTTTAGTGTGAGTTTGACTGAACAGACATTGACCACCTGAGACACGCGCACGCACACACACACACACACACACACGCACTCTTCTCACCACCCCCTCTCAAGCGTTGTGATTTGCCGTCTTGTGTGTGATGTGTTCCATCATTCCATGCCACCAGAGACTTGCACCCTCCACCTCATCCCACTCAAGAACAAGTGTCCCTGTAATCTCTGACACTTTTCAGTGTTTGCTATAACGCACCATATGGTTGTCCGACTCTTACACACTCTGCCTCCACTTCCGGTAGAATACAACAGGAAGTTTCTTCTCCCCTTAGGTTTAGTCTACAAACTGTGTGACTCCAAATCAGAATGGAGTCCTAAATCTGAACTGAGAGCTAACATGGCGTCATCAGATCTGGCTCAGTGGAAAGCATTGTCTATATGAAATTATACTCATTCTGAGTATTAAGGTACCACTATACTCCTCTGACTTGGCAATTCATTTAGTGTCACAAAAAAACAGTTGCTGCTAATGAACTGTTCTATGGAATGGAAAAGGGAAATGTTTTGAAACTCCATTTCATTGCACCTCTTGTTTTGTATTTGTTTTCCTTTTTTTAGTGGGAACCTAAATGCCAAAAACCAAGCAATGTTGTATAATTTAAAACGAGAAATTACTAGTGATAGAACGCTAACATTGATGTTATGTGTCATTACGTAATAAAACCAATAATACCAATAAAGACGTTCAAAAAATGTCCAGAACATGAAATTTGTGTCAGCTTGTCTTTATCTCACATCACGGTTGACAGACCTTTTCCATCGAACTTTTGCTATTGTTTGCCTCACTAAAGGTGCAGTCACATTTTGGACTTTTGCAGGCAAAATCCAATCAATTCAATAGGAATCCATGAGCTTGTGAGTTTTGTGAAGGAGGTTTGGTTTGTCGGGTTTGGTCAGAAAGGTTTGAATGTGAGCTGTGCTTAATAAACTATTGACAATGGATCCTTTTTGCAGGTGAAATTTCACTAAAGTGACTGCACCAGTTTCTCCCAATATCCAGTGATGATAGCTTAACAAATGAATATGAAATTAAGCAGGATCCCACCGTACAGTGTAAATATTGTGCAGTAAATTGTGGTCTGTTTTGATTTATTGTTTTTTGGAGGTCTGTGGTGTATAGGTTTAGCGGGCAATCTCATGCCAAGTGTTTCTCCGCATGTTGTAGGAGTTTATGGATTGACTCTCTCAGTCTGTTTTGTTCACTTAACCCCTGGATCAACACCTCAGCTTTCTTCCCATACTCCAGAGCCTATATACACAAACACAAAAACATAAAAGGAGTATATACCAATAACAAAAAAGAAAATCTGATTTCCAAACTTATAGACTCATTTAATTTCCAATTTAATCTGGTAGTATGACAAGTGTAGCTGTTTAATTGAGAGACTTTTAGGATAGTTTGATGAATAATGGGATGTAAACAGCTTGATATAACAGCTGGGGAGTTGTGAGGTATTATATGGGGAGTTTATTGTTTTTGTTATTTTTGTAGTTGAATATGAGAGCTGGGAGGTTGAACTAGTTTCTAATATCTTGGGATTTAAAATGTAGGGGAAGTAGAAGAAGGCCTAAAGGAGAATCCCATTACAACCAGAATAGCCGGGTCATGGCTTTAGCCATTATTAGTGTTATTAGTGTAATCTGCACATGTTTACGGCACAGTATGACTTCATATACACCCATGCATCCAGATCTGGATTCAAACGTTTCATCTCAGCACTTTCTATTTAATTTGGGCAATGTTTTGGTTATTGACTATGATTTGGTTATGCAGGGCAGTGGTGAGGAGGTGAGTGAGTGTTGAATTCAGGAGCATATTTTAAATGTATCATATGAAGTTTTCTTTATAGAATATTTCATTAGTCGATCTTTATTGTTTACCTTGGTGTGGTTGTTGCATAGCAACCACAGCATAGCTAGAGAATGAGCCAACAAGACTGACTGGTCAGGGCGAGGTTTCACACACTGTTCCTCAAACTCTAAGAGACATCTCAACATCTGATCAGCCTCCACACACTGGGCCTCATCTATACAGACACACAAACAGGAATCTCAATGTCAGATACAAAGGTCACAGGTCAGTGAAGTCTGAGAAAACTGTTTCAAGTGTCTATATTAAATAAAAGCTTCACCACCGTTCGATCTTGCGAGGTGAGTAAACCAGGGAAATACCTGTGAAACTATGATAAATTCTGTTGAATAATCTCTAGTCTAGGAGATATTATCACTTTACACAGAGTTTGACGTTGTTTGCCTGGCCAATATTTTCCCACTTTGAGATTGTCTGAATCGGCTGATAACCATGATCACTCGGTCCATTAAGAGCAATTTGTTTCCAAATATTTTCAGTGTATTTCAACTAAATATTGCATGATTTTTTTCTTTTCAGCGAATGTACATTACTATTCTAAAGCTTCAGGTTCAGTAAGACTTTTGTTAAATGAATGTATTTAAATGAATAACTTTATTCAGCAAGATTGCATGGAATTGCGAAATAGTGACAGTAAAGACAAAATTAAAAAAAGATTATTTTGAACTCTATTCATCAAAGAATTAAATATTTTTTATCATGTTTTCAACAAAAAATATTAAGCAGCACAAGTGTTTTCAACATCGATAATAATAAAAGTGTAAAAAGTGTTTCTGGAGCCCCAAATTAGCATATTATAATAAGATAAGATTTCTGAAGGATCATGTGACACTGAAGACTGGTGTAATGATTCTGAAAATTCAGTTTTGATCACATGAAAAAATTAAACTAGAAAAGATATTTTTAAATTGTAATGATATTTCATTGTATTACTGTTGTACTGTATTTTTGAAAAAATAAAAGCAGCCTTGTTTAGACTTATAACAATAATGTATGTATAATTAAAATGTATTTGCTTATATCATTGGTTTATTTAAACATGTAATTAATAAATAAGAGTAATTATGATTATACCTATTGCATTTACAAGTGTCTTGACTGAACAGTGATGTAAGTCCACTGACATGATCAGACTGTCTGCCCTATAGAGAAAATAAAAAATAGAACTGGCTAGTCTGTGTCCCTGATTGATATCAGGTCATGTTTGTTGTTGTTGCTCAGTGCAGTCACATTCAAAGTGACATGCAGAGCAAGGCCGGCTGAGCTGTTTCCTGCTATAGAGTCATCTGGTCAGAAGTTAAAACGTGATGTGGCACCGGCACCAGTCTACTGACCTCAGGTCAGTCATCAAGAGGCCAGAGAGCAGGAAGGATCAAGTGTACTGACCAGTGACCAGCCAGTATGAACACAGCTAAGCCAGCCACGTCACTGGAAGACTTAGCCAAAACACCACTGAGGTTAATAGGCTTAGAGAGAGAACTAGGGCAGGAGTGCGGCACGTACTAGCGGCTCTGTCATGTTTGATCTTAGTCATCAGTAGAACAAAGTAGGTTTTGCTGTAGTACACAACCTCTTGACATGAATCTAAACATATAGATGACTTCATTCAAACTACATAGGCCTACAATACACACACAATCATGATGGTACAGGCTGTCATTAAAGCTTATAAATAATTAAATCCGCACCATACAGATGAGACATTTCATGATAGATCTTAATAAGTCAAATTTACATTAGGATATGAACTACATTAAATTACATTTACAAAATTATTTTATTTATTATTTGTATATATATATATATATGCAAGATGTAGGTGAAATGGGCAGGAATTAAGATCTGATTGACTAAGTAAAAGATCTCTGAACACCAAGCAACATAAGGCAAATTATGTTCAATTACACAATCCTGTGCTAAAATTTAGGCCCTAAACTTATATATTGGACTTATATTCAGATTTACATTTATATGGCTTATAAATATATTTACATTTACATATTCACGATTCATATTATTATTTCATATTAATTATTTTCTGATTGGCCCTTCATAATACGTATATATATATATATATATATATATACATTTGATATTTGATGAACAATGAAACTGTAACTGTCCACTGAGATGAGACTGTCTTTGTGTTGGTTGTCTTTGTCTTTATGCCACTTACCAAAACATTCTTCTGGTTGAGTGCCACTCCGACTGATATCATCCGTCAGCTTACACAGGTGAGAGTGCCATGAACTCGCCACCTGTAAACACACACGCACGCACGCAATGCGATGAGAGACGTTTCACAGACACAGATGACTCAATGTGCACTGGTGGTGGGTGTGTATCTACCTCTGCATAGAGCGAGAGGGCAACTTCAGGCTTGTTTTGCTTCAGAAACACATCAGCCATCAGGAAATATCCTCCAGACGTCACAGTACTGTCCAAACCATACATCTCACTGGCATAGTACACCTGCACAAAGAAAAAAATATTAAAATTTGAAAAATGAATGTATCGAGTCAGTACCTCAAAATGAAATTTGGGTGTTTTAAAGAGATAAACAAATAACTGACATAGATAAATGGACATGAAATATGGATTTTTAGTTCAAATTAAAATGATTAAACAATATCTAATGCCAGTATACCACTGGTACATTATTATGTACATGCAATCCAATCACAGAGTTCCACGCATATTAGGACTTACGTCATTGGCAAAGTGAGTGAGAGCAGATGTGTATTTTCCCATGGCAGCATGCAGTCGGCCCAGGGTTCTGTGAAGCTGATGAAGGACAGTGTGACTGCAGCCTGGTGTTCTCATCACTGTCCACTCAGCCTTAGACAGATACTCATGAGCCAGGGAGAGAGAACCTAAACCTAAACACACAAAAACAACATACACTAAGAACAAGAACTAAAAACTCTTGAGTTGGAGTGAGCCTGGCTATTAGTGGGCCTTTCTGTGTCTACTCTATACAACCATCTTTGATGTTCCTATTGGAATACACATCTAGTGTTTTAAAGCAACACCAAGTAACTTACCCTCTGCGGTCGCCCTACAGGTTGGAAGCGGAATTGTCCATTACTGCTGTGGTAAATAGTTTAGCCTACCGCAGCCTACCGTCGCACACACGCTCGTTGTTTATCCAGCAGCGGCTTTTGAATGAACGATGTTTACAGACAAGGTAGAGTATGTTTCTTAATTTCATGAAAGTATTATGTATCGCAACATCAGAAACGAAGAAAAACAAAATAAAGACTATTGTAACCCTTGATGTAAAGCAAGTCAAATTTGTACTTTTTTTATGTCTCATTAGAACTACAGAAACGCGACCCGATCTGGCAATCTTAGCGTGGTCATAGAAGATATAAGAACGCAAAGCAAATCCAGAAGGGCCTTTCCCCCTGTTACGACTTAAAGAACCCCTGAAATGATTTCGGAAACCTAGATTTAAGGTAAAAAAAATCGTAGTGTTCCTTTAAGGATTCATGCCTGGTTTCGTCAATTGTCAAAAAGTCCACTGTGTGTATTCTCATGTAAAGCGTCTATCTGTATAGACAGAAGCCTAATGATCAAGGGTGTGTCTCAATCCGCTCCCTAGTTCAGCAGAGCACTGCCCTTGCCCAAGGAGTTTGCCATTCCGAGTGCTTTCTCACTGTCAAAATGATCCCACTGCACTGAAATGTTCACTCCCCAGAATCAGCTGCTTACTATATTCACTTAATGGAATTGACGTCATGTCATCTGTCTCTCGAGTTGTGAGAACATGAGCGCAAGTGTAAATGAAGACAAAGCTTTAATACTGTCTGTAAAATAGTTTATTCCTAATGTGCATAGAAAGAACAGCTATAATGTAGATGCACTGAGATATTATAATTAAATGTCAGACGCATTTTGATGTGGAGTTTCTTGACATGGCAAACTGAGTCATCATCAGTGTCCCAATATTTAATGGATCGAGGCCCCAATTCATATTCACAATATGCTAAGTCATGTCAGTAAATTTTACCATGCCAACTATCAAATCTCCAGTCACATAAAGATGAATCTTTCATATGCTTATGTCAAAGAGCTTTCAGTGCAAGAGGTTCTCACTCAGACAGTACACATCTGCATGACTAGTCTGCCACATCCTCAATTACATAACAAACCGTCTCTCCGTTCAGTTCATATCCAAGCACCACCCTTGAGCCCACCAATAGACTGAGATTTTTAGCAAACATTTTGTTTCCATTCTCTACAGAAGTGGAAGTTATTGGCTGTTAGCCTCCAGAGAAGTTCAGGATGTGAAGTCTTATCTAATGGACCTTAGAGAAATTTAAAATGAATACAACCATGGGTTGGTTTTTGCAGGTTTTGTGCACATCTCACCTATATTAGCCTGTGCAAGCAGTAGGTAAGCTGGTACCAGTTCAACAGCACAGGTTCCATACACCTGCATGGCCCAGCGCAGGAATAGGAGAGCGGCTGGCAACACATCCTGGAACCTCTTCTTGGACACCCACCTCTGCGCCTCTAAATGAGCAATCTCTATTAGGTACTCCTAGTGTCGAAAACATACAAAACACACACTTATCAGACATCTGCCCTGTTAACAAATCTATTTGCCCAATTTTATGTGCTGGAGTGCATATAAACCTGTTTCTTCACTCTTTCTTTTTGGTGGTGGTCATGGTCGGACTGCAGCGCGTGAATAGATACCAGCAATGGACACACTTTTTCATGAATACTGATCCAGTCAGTCAGCTGGTGATCAGGGTCACTACACACACACACACACACACACACACACGTTTGGTTTCCAAACTGTATGGGGACTTAGACATAATGATTTTTATACAGTACAAACTGTGGATTCTAACCCTATCCCTCATAGAAAACTTCTACTATTTTACATTTTCAAAAAACATCACTTAATGTGATTTATAAACTGTTTTAAGCTGGACCAAAAAATATCCCCAGACAAGTACAAGGATTTCAGATATTGTCACATTTAAAGTAATATTTGCTAGGATATCTAGCTATATCTTTTAGTTTTTTGAGGAGGACACTGCGCCCCCCTCGGAGAATATTCTGTTTCTAGAAGTAAAAAAGTGACCGAGTTAATTTAGACAGAGATTAGAAAAACATTTGCATGTCGACACTGTGAGACCGTTGATATGCGTCGTGGTTCGTGGTGTCTTTAAAACGGCAAGTGAAAACTCCACAGATGCACACTGAAAAAAACATATATTTTTCCAGTCATATTTCTTTCTTTTTTCCTGGTTGGTTTTAAGCATGCATGGCTGGCTATTCTCCTTCCCTCTGCACATAATTTCTCCTCCAGCTGTTTGAACTCGTTCAACCTTTCCATCTCTTCTGCAGTAACACGGCCAAGAATGCGTGCGAAAAACATATGTGCCTATAATGCCACCTGCTGTCTGTACGCGCAATTACACCATTGGGTATTCTTTAACAGTTTAAATTGTATTATAAAGAAAAACACATCATTGAATAACCCGAAGGCTCCAGACTCACCAGTAAAATGTGACCAGGCATTGTGTGCACTTAAGTCGAGCAGGTTTCTGGCAAAGTTCGCATAGCTTTTTCACTCCTTTGGCATTTGCTAGAGGGTATATAGTGAACGACATCCCAAATGCACAAATCTCTACAAACGTTAAAATTCTCAAACTGCAAAATATGCTTAAATAGAGCACAAAAAATGCGTCAATTCTGTGTTCTTACTACAAACCGTTTCAACAATTTCCCATAACAAATCAACTCACGCACTATTTCTTGCTTTGTGTCTGAATAAGTTCAGTGTTTTACAAATGGGTTCCCATGGAGACGACCTCAAATTAACCGACGAGGACTGCCCCAGCGATTTTGGTGTTTTATAACATTTGGTGTTTTATCACAGTGTATAACAATGGCGCTGCTACTGTGTTTCCAAAGATATATTACGTAGGCCTACTTTCTTAAACAAAACGCTTCATTTGCATAACCCTTTCGTCTCGAAATACAGGTAAAACGTGATTTACAAGTTTATCGCCATCTGGTGGTGAAATGTTACCGTGCTAAAAACCTCACCTAAAGTTAAATGATTAACGTTAATCAAAGTGTACTTTTCCTCCTCTAAAATATAGCATACTACAGGCTTTATATTACATGTAAAAAATAAATAAATAAATAAATAAATAAAAACTTCAGTTTATTTATTGATTGTCTAAATGCCAATTTGGGGCAAGTTATCACACATTATAAACGCCATTTAATTAATGTTATCAGATGGTTTTTATCAGAAGTTACTTAAGTAGAAATAATACAAGCACAAAATAATCCAATGACAAGACAAATACCATTTCTATAAATACCATAAAAGACAATGCAAGAGCAGATGTGCAAGTGCATTGTTTAGATGTAGGCCTATCATTTAAAGAATTTATCTGCATCTTTTTTTTTTTTTCACATTTTGCATTACAGTTTTGTTTAAAAATTGCTGCCCTTTTAAAATCTAGCAGAAAACCCTATTTTAATGCATCACATTCCATTGTGATGACTTACCCCATAACAACCTGTCAAACTACCATTATGCACATTTCAGTCTCCCAGTCTCATGTTGTATGCAAATAAATAAATAAAAATAAAAGGAATATATATATATATATATATATATATATATATATATATATTAAATATTAAACTCAGTAATAACACTTTAACATTTTAAAAAAAAGTTTATTGATTTGCTCATCCTAACAAAACACAAACATACATTTCACACGTTTAAAATAGCCTAAGTGAAAATACAATTGTTTTTCCTCTGCCCTGAAAACCCTCCAAGGGCAGACTCTACCCACTCTCCTAAATTAATCATAAAACCGTGAGTTTGCATGGAATCTCTGTGCAAAAACACACACAAAATACAGTCAAAATCAAATACTTCCTACCTCAGTTTCTCTTGACCTCTGTCAATTGTCTTTCTGACAGGAGACGTTAAAAAAAAAAAAAAAAAAAAAAAAAAATCAATCTGGTTAGTGTTTCTTCTTTTCAATTGGCCAACAAAAAAAAGTGGGAATAAGATTATGGAAAATTCTCAGGGTGGTCCATTTTCTGTACAGCAGTATTGTCCTTCACACAATTACCAAAACTAATAAGAAATCCACCTGCACACACAGTCAAGTGGAGTTTTAACAGCTCTTCCTGTAATCCGAAGTCAGTCGGAGCAGCAATGAATTTATGGGAGATACTGAAAGTGGAGTCATTAACACTGCATTGAACCTCTTTCTGCTTTGTCTAGCAGCTGCTATTATTCAGCTGAGCTCTGAGATTTACCAGAGATGTGGAGCACACATCCCCCAGAAACCAGTCCGATTCATTTCTACTCAGGGAAAAAATTGCCTCACACTGAATACAGTAATAATTCAACAATATGAATTTTACCTCAAATGCATCAAATTAAAGTGCGCACTATAAAAAAAAAACCCATCTGCTGTGACTAAACAACGTTGCTTAAAAATAGTTACTCGCTTGAGTTTGGACACAAATGTTTCTCAAAAATACCAAACAGAAACTGCAGTGAACCAGCATATTTGATTGACCTGCTGTTAGGCCACAGTGTCACAGTGGCCAGCAGGTGGTGGTGTTTCCTTGCTTTTTCAGTGCATGTTTTTACCTGAAAGTGACTCAATGCAGCACTCTAGTGTGCCAAAACTGCCACTGATGTTTGAGGTTGTGCAGCTTGTTCTTTTTGCAGACCCAAGAGTCTTTTTGTTCTCCACATCATCAGAAAAATGTACTCTAAAAAACAGAAAGAATAAAATGGCTTCGGAAACATTTGCGCACGAGCACTTTTGTTTTGCACTAGCAGAACTTGAAATGAAGTCTCTTTAGCCAACAGAAATTCAGTACCGTGTTTGTCGCTGGCTCAGGTTGAAATTAAGGACTCTAATCTCCCTCAATATGGCACAAAGAAAAAATTCATTTCAGACTATGAAATTAAAATCAACACACCCTCTTGAAGATCACAAACAGCTCCGTAAAAAGAGGTTTCAGGAATTAGTATTGCATGTACCTGAATGTGGATAGAAAGGCACTCAATCAAAGGCACAGGATCTGCTGGCAACCATAATTAAAAGTTTCTAGACATCTAAAAAGAACATGGTCAAAATGGCAAATCAACACACTTTAAAAAAGGATTCCCTATTTGAATCTATCCTTGTGAAACAATTATCATCTTCACTAAAACAGAATCGAAAGCAAACATCTCCAACAGACTGCTCATGCGAAGTGAGAATTGACTTTCGGACAAAAACGAGACTGTTGCCATTTAGTGTTTGCTGCAGTTCTTAAAAACAGCAAACACAGAAATGTCCATGGTAACAGTACAGTGAATGAATAAAGTGATGATGAGCAATGTGAGATCACAAGAGCAGGAAGCAACCTGTCAAAAACGCATATTAAACTGCACTTGGAAACTAACCACGAATTCTTCTGCCACACTAGGAAAAACACTGTAACTTCATAAATTCGAAGTCTATGATCTGTCCCATGAGAGATGGATTTTCCTAAATTATGTTCAGATTCAGAGAAAACTGAGCATTTGGCAGTTTAGCATAGCCTGGCACTATTTTCAACCAGCCAATAAGAACAGGGAAGACTACAATACAGATACATGAGAAACTTCACACTCAACTTGTATCCTACATGTAATAATGACCTTTAGTCCAAAAAACTATTCCTAGGATAGATATCCTTCTCCCATGTCTTGATCTGACCAATTCTGTGCGCACCTCACCTTAAAATGACAAAGCAATTCTCTTATGAAAACCTGCTCTATTTTGAAGTTTCATTTAAAGGCAGATGAACTGTAATTCTGGAGTCTCAAAAAAGGAATGCTCTCGTAATGGATGTAATACACCAGAAAAGGGTGAATTAGGTCAATAACGTACAGAGAGACTCCCATTTGAATGTTGGGAGAGTGAAAGTAACTTTTGAGGTGTGTGTGTGGATTTTTCTTGTGCTTTTCGAAACATTGGCTGAATCATTAAGTAACGCTTTAGAGGGAATATTTCTTTTCTGGTTTTATCATTTTGGACGGTCATATAACATGAAGATTGATGGCATGTGTGCGCAGTTTATAGTGTCCTTCTCCGTTTGGCGACGTCCGCTCATGCATAACATTCGTCTCCACTCGCCTCCTTTGACTTCTCGTTCAGGGCATTGTCTATATTTGTTTCTTCATCTTTCTCTTCCTGCCTAGCTCTTCTCTCCTCCTCCCTCTTCTCTTTTTCCAACAGCCGGTAGTTGATGCCCATTCCCACGAACAGGAATGCGCTGGCGACCACCAGGACGGCTCCACAACCCTGATATGTGTATTTATAATCATGGTACATATCATTGAGTCTTCCTGCAAGGAAAGAAATGGAAAAATGCTTTACTCAATGTCGGTTACACAGTAACTGGAACAGGACATGTGTTTGAAACAGGACATCTTTGAGCCAAGACAAACTGGTCAGGACATTCTGAAAGTGCCACAGGGCTAGTGGAAACAGCTTTTATATTTAGTTAATATTTTAACAAGTTACTCATTTATCTCAATAATAGCATTTTAGTTGAGAGTATATAAAATTAGAAGATCCAAGCATTTTATATACTAATTTAACATTCATTAATTTATTTTCATTAAAATGTTTGAAATATTTAATTGTATATATTTTTTTTAATTGGCTTTATTATTTGAAATATTTTAGTTGAAAGTTTTAGTTGATTATATTTTAGTTGATATTCATAATTTTCATTAAAATTCCATTAACTTTAGTCATCATTGTCATGCTCATACATTTTTGTGATTACATTTTTGTTGATAAGAACATTTTATAATTAAATTAAATATTGAAGCACTATTATTGTTTTTATTTATTATTTTTAGTATATTTATTATAAGTGTATATATTCATTTGAAAAAATTAAAAACTTCCCATAATTGTCTCTATTTTGGCATGTCATATTAATATTTCACAATAACACTTTCAAGCATTTTATATATTAAATATGCATCAACAGTGCATAAAAAGTGAAAATAGTCTTTAAAAGGAAAATATTACACTCAAAAGCTAATTTTGTCATCATTTACTCTATTAATCCTAACCTGCTTGGCCATCTTCTTTGGATGATCAAATGGTCAGTGGTAAACAAAACTGTTTGGTAACCAACATTCTTCATACAGGTTTAGAATGATCATTTTGTCGTTTTTGGCCTACGCCCAGCCTTACCCAGTACTGGCGGCCCCAGCAGCACAGGTCCACACTCCACGATGGTGACCAACCCGACAGCACTGGAGAATCTCTGAGTGCCCACCAGGTCCATGAGAGTCTCAAACAGCACAGAACTGAGCCAGCCGAAAGCCACCCCGAAAAACACTGCATAAATGGCAAAACCCATGTAATCGGTGGAGAACGGCGCCATCAAGTGGCAGACGCCATTATACAGCACAGATAATGCGAAGAAGTACTGGATGCGTGGACGGACCCAGCGTGTGTTGGCCAGCAGGCCCATGGACGGCCGAGCAACCATGTCAGTGAAGGCCAAGATGGACAACAAGAACGCAGCCTTATCCTTGGGAATGTCTTTACTCTTCGCGTAGTTACTGAGGAACACAAGGGGTGCGAAGAGGCCGAAAAACATGATGACGTTTCCTAGCAGGTACAGCAAGAAGCCTCGGTGGGTAAACAGGGTCAGATCCAGAAAGCTGTTGACGGTCTGAAGGCATGTTTTTTTCTCTTGACGTTTGGCTATGCCATCCTCTTTTGGGATGGCAGGTTGCGGTTTTGGTCCGATGGGTCGCATTAGTGACCCGGCAACACAGCAGTTTAGCAAAGCTCCTCCCAGGATGAGGAAACTGCCCCTCCACCCGTAATAATCGAACAGCCAGCTGTTCAACGGGGCCAGGGTGGACAAGAAGACCGGGCTGCCCGCCATCGCGATGCCATTAGCTATTGGCCGCCGCATGTAAAAGTATTTGCCAATCATGGTCAACGCTGGATTCAGATTAAAAGCCAAACCCAGTCCTAGAAACAGAGGAGAGAGAAAGCATGAGTACGCATGATTCAGAAAGTGAGTTTGTAACTTTCATTATTTAAATTCTACTCACCCTGTCGTCATGATCAGTGTCATTCAATGTACTTACCGCCTATAACTCCCACACAGAAGTAAAGACCCTCGACTGTGTTACAGAAGGATGCGGCGACTAATCCTGAGCCTGACAGAATCCCTCCAGCAATCATGATGGGTCGACTGCCATATTTATTCACCAGAATACTGCTGATTGGTCCTGTTGAGAAAAAAACAGGTTGGTTAAAAAAAAAAAAATTCAGATATTGTTCAAATTACAGTTTAAACTGATGTGTGAGATTATTTATATAGCTAAACACAAATTAAACATAAGACTGGATTGGATAACATTTTTGTAAACTTGATTAGTCCTGTAAACAAAACATGTGGGTAAAAAAAAATGAAAGGTAGAACCAAACAACCTAAATCTAAAGTCGCATAAAATATATATTAAAAAAACGTTAATTTGACCCCCTGGGGTTGACCATCAACATTACCAACCATTTGTTAAAAAAAAAAAAAAAAAAAAAAAAAAAAAAAATCACTTTAGAGTTTTAGGCTACATTTTGTACCCTTTTATTGTTCCACCACAAGATGGCATTACAGTCATTCACACCTCTGACTGTTTCAAAGCAAGACTCCAGGAGGACACAGAGACGATTCAGAGGAAGGAAACTTCACTACATGGCATGTGACCAACTGAAGTGGTGTGAGGGAGAAAAACTTAATCAGCAGAATGAAGCTGACCCAAAGTGATCAGAACAGGAACAGACTAATGTTCATTTCAGTAAACAAGCAGTCTAATACAACCTTCCTTTCTTCAACATAATTAGGAGTTCCCACACAAACACACAATTGCAAGATTTAATAAGCGGTTTAAAATATATATAGTGAATACTTCCTAGCTGTACTCTGTACAAGAAAGAGCATTCAGAAACAAAAAGAACTTCGCTATTTCTTCCTCTTTTTTCCTGGTGAATAAACAAACCGCTCCATCAGTGTAGTGCTCTTCTTGTGAAAGGACCCATTTTAGAGCACCGTCACACTTAAAGGGTTAGTTCACCCAAAAATGTCATTACTCACCCACACATTGTTCCAAACCCGCAAGGTCATCTTTGGAAATAAAACTAAGATAATTTTGATACAAATTAAAAAGAGGTTTCTGACCAAAGTTCCCTCGATTTTTTTCATACTCAGCCTACAATGAGATGGTTTGTAAAAACCATTGTACAGTCAATTCATTTTGTACATGTAGCATTAAACCAAAGTTAAATTTAATGTTTATTGCTTATGAATTTTCAATTATTTCTTTAGCAGGGGGTTTCAAACGTTTCAAAAGAGCCGGCTTATACCTATAATAAAATATAGGCCTAACATTAAAAAAATAAATAAATAAATAAACGAATTGAAGTATTTGAAGTGATAACATGAAAACAAACTGAAGCATTTAAATATATTTAATATAGCTAAATATTTTCAAGAAAAGTTAATGTGTGAACATTTATAATAATCTAAACACCCCTGAAACCCTGGAATTTTATTTATGTCTGTTTCTCGTTCCCTCTCGTATTGAGCTATCTAGTCCACAAACATTCGTTTTTTTTAAGGTGACTGATTTGGCTCACTGGCTGCAACTCGCACATTATCATATCATTGTCTTTCTATGAAACCTGTAAACTGCATTCACCGTTTTTACTCTATAGCAGTTGACCAGCGCACTGCAACCATTTATCACTTAAACTAGAATCAAATGCATTTCCCCACACATTTCGCACCTGTCCTCTACGTGACTCTACTCTGCATTTAAGTGTGCAAAAAAAAAAAAAAATTCAACAAATCTCTTCGCTTTCAGTCTGTGACGCGGTTCACACTGTAAACAGTAAAAACTGCAGCTTTTCCAGGTTCTGCGTCAGAACACCGGCTCAGTATTGGCCGACTCAGCTCCTGCGTCAGCATCACGGCTCGAAGACTGAGAAAGAAGTGTAGAAATTAAGTTGTTATTTTTGTTTTTGTTCACAAAAAGTATTCCCGTCGCTTAAACTTAAACCAATGTAGTCACGGGGACAATTTTAACAAAGTCTTAACCGTTCTGGGCCTTTAAAGAACGAGTTTGAGAAAGCATGAGAAAGTTATGACGTTGCTGTTTATAGAGGGGTCAAAAAGCTCTCAGATTTCACCAAAACATTTGTGTTCTGAAGATGAACAAAAATCTTACAGGTTTGGAAAGACATGAGGCTGAGTAACTAATGACAGAATTTTCATTTTTGGGAGAACTAACCCTTTAGGATCTAGCCCCCTAAAGCATTCAGAGTTGTATAACTTTAAAACGAAGGTCGGACATGGTAACGAAGACTTTTAAACAATAAACAGACACAGAAAAGAAAGAGAATCTGAGAATCCATCACAAAGCTATTGAGAGAATCTGAAACAGTGCAGAAGAATCTAGCCCAAACTCCATAAAAGTCATAGCATATAGTTTTGTGTACACACAACCCAAACTAATAATAACAACATGTCATGGTAATGTAGCTTTGAAAAAAAAAGACTTGATCAAGAATTCTTTATAGTACACAAAGGTATAGACAAAAAGCACTAAAACTACTATAAATTCTCTCTATGTTTGCAAAACTTTAGATTTTATGGCTACTGTCACATGTAAATTTAACAGATATTTACAACTAGTCTATCATCATCAGGAGGAACTTTCCCATTTGTTCCATGCAGCCAATCAGAGTTCACACAATTTGTCGGTCCCCCAGTCACATTCCTTGAATTAATTTATTCTGACAGGCTTTGTGTAGCACCGAACACGCCGTCCTTTCCAGACCACAAAAAAAAAAGGGACAAAAACAGCAGTGATCCAAATACACGATTATATAAACTGATTCCGAAACCCGGAAGTCAGAAGAGGATATTTTTTTTTAGATATTCAGTCTGAGAGCTATTTGTAAAGTACTTTACAGTTTTACAGAGATCATTTAAAATGTACAGGAGCACAGCAGTACGATTCTCACTGGAGAAAACTTGAACATCCAACAAGGCTGAAAACAGCCACAGATCACACGGTGTTGTGTCTTTATGCTTATACAACAGTAAGACAACCACAGATTGGAGCTCATCTTGAATCCGCCTTTACTGCGTAGTTGCAATGATCACATTCAAAACTACAGTGCGCATATGCAAAATAACTAAATTCACACCAGTTCCTCCCCTCCAGCCTTCATGTACTCACTTCCGATTAGGAATTATGGCCAAAATGATAATCACGTTTATTTTGATTAATATTGAGATCACGATTAATTACCACGATTATTTGTTGATTTTAACTAAAACAACAACTAATTAAAACTGCTTTCACATTGATTTTGTACTACATTCCTGCTAATCTACAAATATGTGCATCAAAATTGAATAGATGGATGTAAATGGATGTAAATAAAACTAAACTAAATCAATAAAAAAACAAATATTACATGAAGCAGAACTATGCACTATGGAGTCATTGGCCCTCATTTATCAAAAGTGCGTACACCAAATTTCCAGCGTACACCTTGCGTACACTCAAAACCACGGTGAGTTTGAGATTTATCAATATGGACGTGGGCGTACGGCACGCTCGAATCCTACAGCAGCTCAGGAGGTGGTGTACACACGTTTTGAGTTAGTGAGGAAATGCGCAGAAAAATTCCTATCACCACAAAACGCACTGACAAACTAAAATATATGATGTATTATGAACCACTATAAAACAAACAAACAAACAAAAAAACAACATAGTAATTATAAACTTCAGTGTTTATTTTTGTGTAACGTGGACTTCAATGTTTCATTTGTGTGACTTTACCAAAGCATTCATTCAGTTGCGAGCCCGTTTTACCCTGACGTTTCAGGATTATCCCCGGCAGGTGCGCACGGACTGGGTTCGGTAGCCTAATGAAAGGCTTTCAATGACCAAAAAATAATTCAGACTGACAAAATAATAAAAAATACGTTCTTCCTCTTTTAAATGATAATAATAATACAAATAATAATAACAACATCCTTCTTCTAAATAACAATAAATAATAATAATAAGAAGAATAGTCACAAATTGTCATGCAATTATTAATGTGAATGAATGGTACTTCACATCATCATCATCACTATTATACATGTGACGTGATTCGAAATTGAATGCTAATTCAAAAGACGTGCTGTAAAATAATGCATTGTGATAGGTAGGGTTGGGTTTCGAGAATCGAGTATCGATTGGAACCGAGACTAACTTTTCGTTTTTCCCAGAATCGTTCAAAAGTAAAAATTTCGATTCCTAGTTTCGATATTCACAGTCCGCCGAGCGGAAGAAGAAACCACGAACAACACCAACGAAGAAGCGTCTACCGGAAGTGTTGGCATAACCACGCGAGTCGAACATGAGTACCTTACGTCGGCGATCCAAAGTGTGGCTTCACTTTTCTAAAAATAACGAAATCTCGGCAAAATGCAAAATTAGTGACAAAAGGAGTATTTTTACAGAAGGAGTATTTCCTTCAGAAAGGCCGTTGGTTAGCAAGGTTAGCTAAACTTTTTTGACCCCGCCTCTTAAAAGAATCGGAATCGAGAATCGTTAGGAACCGGAATCGAAACAAGGAATCGGAATCAGAATCGTTCAAATTCAAACGATACCCAACCCTAGTGATAGGTCATTTCGGCTCCACGTCGGAGAAGTTTCTCTTCTTTGCCGTCTTCCATGTGTCCATGGCGTAAAATGAGGGCATGGGGGGAGCGGAGACTTGAATATTTAGGGGCGTGTTATTCTAATGACGATCGTTTTCGGCCGCGGGATTTATCAAGGGCAGGCATTGCGTACACCTGGATTTCAAAGGTATGCACATCTTCATAAATCAGGCGGTGAGAGGAGTGTACGCATAATCTTACACCAACATATACACCCGTTTCTACGCAAGATTGATAAATGAGGGCCATTGTTATAATGCTTAAGAAATGTAAAACCTGGTTGTGGTACAGTGCCAGTGAGTTGTTGTGAAATCGTCCATATTAAAGTTTATGTGCTCGAACTATTTCCTTTTTAAATCTGTGACACCCAGAGCATGTTTTAGCTAGATCTTGAATTTGGCAATCTAGTCTAGTCCACCAAATAGCTTCTGGCCAGACTTATCATTTGATCAACACCTAAATGTACTTTGTGTACTTGAGTACTTTGCACACTCACTCAGTACT